AACTCGTCATTCAGGCCTTGTCTGGGTCGCTCGTTCGCCCTTATTTTTGTTATTACACTATTATTGCATTATGCTGGCTAGTTAGGTCTTATGTGACGTGAGTGAGTTGGTTGGTGTGCAGTGCATTTTGCTTTTAAAGATTTGTTGGCCTGCTTTGTACGTGAAGAGCAAGAAGATAATGTAGGTATGTGTCATTGGATGGATTGGACGGTTGAATAATTTTCCACCTGGATTTGTATGCCTGATTAGCTTTAGAGGGTCTCTCACTCACCAGCAGCAGCAGCACCTATTTTCAATACCTCCAAAATCCCAAGGAGTACCGACCCGACTGTCCGGACTATGAAATGCAACTTAAAATTCAAGTACCAACTCTTATACTGGTCCTTGTCCGTGGTGATACCAGTTTACTCCCTGGTTGTTGTGCAAAAGAATCATTCCACAAATAAAGTGGCTGATCAAAACGAGGCAGGAATGGGTTGAGAGGACTTTTTTCCAAAGAGTACAACAATCCTGTGGTGGCATATGTGACGACAATTTGCACTAAAGTTTAACATGCAAGCTTGGCCGAAGAAATAACTTGTACAATGGAAACTAGCTACAATTTGTTATAATTTTTACAAGTTCAAATTTCAGAAAGCGTTTATGAACAAAATCTGCAAAGTCTGGGTGTCAAGCGGGCAGACGGTAATACACACAAAGTTCATTTTTAGATGGGTCGACGACGGATTAATGACAGTCCGCACCCTTTGAACCAACCGTTTCTGCCCGTGGGTTGCTTCATTCTTTCTCTCTACCACTACTATCACTGCCCTTTTGTATATGTGTCTAATAATAAGTAGACCAAGAAATATAATTGTTGATACACATTAACGATAGGAGGAAAGAGACTGTGGTAATCGCGCAATCTACTCAACTCAAACCGACGACGACCTCTGCACTCATCCAGTTTTGGTTTTTGGTTGGATTAAATGACTTGTTTTGTCCCCTTTCACACAGCCGAGTAAAGAAACCTTACTCGAGCGGTACAGCTACAAAGGTTACCCTAATTGTGAGTTCATGTTCAGCCAAATGCAAAAGTAAAACACGGGAGTGATGATGATGATGGGATTTGGACAGTCAGCAAAAATAGCAGAAACAGTTTCCAAAATGTATGTACATATCTACATCCAGACGAGTAAAATTATACCAGAAAATACAGATTAATTTCGAGGTGATTTATAGAAAACCACTCAAGATAGCGGAAATTGGGGTGGAATTAGTGAGACGCGGGTCGACTTTTGCAGCGGAACTGCACTGATGATCACATTGTGTGTATCATGCTCATTCATTTATACGCATATATCTTGAGCAGAGTCGAGGCTTTTAGCTTTTCAACTTTTGCGACAAGTCACGCAATTCTTTGCTCTGGACTCGTTTCATCAACCAGGTCGAACGAGGAGCGATGCAACTTTAATGGAGTAAATAAATACTGCAAAGTAGATATTTCAGACTCAGGTTGCGGCGAATTTATGAGCATGCATGGTCCAATTCGTTAGCTGACAGACTGAAACTAAGGCCTTTCACTAACCTAAAGGATTTATCCTTAGGTTTGATCTGGGTTAAGTTCTTTTAGAGTTCCCTGGGCCACAAGATGTTGATTTGGTGAGACAGTTGATCACCTGGTAATAAGATAGTTGATGAGAATCAAGTTTTCGGCATCTCCTTGTCCCATCAGAAAATTCCTTGGGAGGCCTTCGCTCCTCAAACTTTTTGGGTTACTGCTCTTACCTCTTACTTGCCTATGTTGGGTTTAATAGACGTCAAATCCTCTCAGAAAATCGAAACATTGTGGATTCGATATTCAGATGTAGGATTGGATCACACTCACCCGGCCAACAACTGTCATCCTTCTTCTATCACCTTCTTCTTCTTCTTCCTCCTCGTCATAACGCCATCCTTCATCCACATCGACCGACAAACCTGTTAGAAAGAAAAAAGGATAAAGCAAAGGACGCAACACACACACACACAACGAAACAAAATAATATAACGAGACGATCCAAGGAGCCAGCCTCGCTTACGAGTCAGTGAGCACAGTCCAGCGTGTTTAAATCCCAAACTTTTTTTTCTCTCTCTAATAAAGAAAGACAGTCTCACTCTCTGCAATGTTCAAGTTTAAGACAAGCATGGCATGATAATGCATGATTACATTTTTACCCTGAAAAGTTTTTAGGAAAATTATTAATAAATCCAAAGTTATTTCATACTAGTGGAAATGGTAGAAATGATACAGATGAGAATTGCGGAATATATTGTGAAAAAAATGAAATTATAAAGTATCGATACTATGAAATACGTAAATAAAAAACGGGATCAAAAATGGTCATATTTTTCGTTATTTTGAGATGCTGTCCAAACCCAAGAAGGACGAGACAACACTCCTTCGATCTCTCTCACTTTCTGTCACTTTGAGTTCAGTGATGCTCAACCAGAACAAAATCTCGTGCTGATAAATTTGTCCACCGTCTATCTTACCGAAAATTCTTTGTGCAGCCTATTCAGCAGGTCGACCTCACACGTCGATGCTTTTCTATCATACTTTTTTTTATCATATTTGTCCATTTTACAGCCAGAAATTGATCAATACTGTATCATATCGTAGTTGGGATTAGTACCTATAAATATGATAATGACACAAAAAGCTGGTAAAACACATTGGAAAACACATTGTCTTTTTTGCAAGAAAAAGCTATTTATTACATTATGTTTATATTTATACATTTTGAATGCTTTGAGTGAAACTGCAATAAAAAATGTGACGGGGATGATTATTTTATTAAAAAAGAGTTGACAGAATGGGAGCAGTAGTGAGTAAATTATTTATTAAATCATTAAATCTCTTCTTTGAATGAGGTTGATTAAAGCTGGTTTTCGAAATGCACTTTCCAGAATTAAATTAAGAAATAATTCTCTTTCACAAAATTTTGAATTTGAAAACGACAAGAAATGAAATATTGTTACTCTTGTATAAAGGACTCGAAATATTTAGTTGACGACTACACAGCTAGTCCTTATGCACTAATGGTGTTGTGTGTGCAGGAGCAGTGTTACCTCTTTTTTCTTGGACAATGCAAGATTCATTAGGCTCGCAAAGATGCAAAGCGAACATTTTTATCTCGAGATGAGTCATGATGACTGGTCTTTTTTCAATTTCATTATAATAAATAAATTATTTTAATGGCTCCTACAAATCGTTTCTACATATTCTTCAACAGTAGCTACAGAACAGTAGCAATAGAATTTTTCTTTAGTGTGTTGTAAATATTCCGCCTTTCTGTACCTGATCTCATATCACTTAATTATTTAGTCGGAAGACTGTTATGCATATCATCGTGAACATTTCAATCCTTTATTTGATTATTATTATAGAATCCAACGAGAATAACACAAGTCGAAATTCTGTCTCCTAAAACCACATGAAGTTGTCAAAACTTCTTTTATCAATGTAAGACAAAATTTATGAAGAAAAAACTCGTGTTAAAAAAATTGTACTCGTGTTTTCGCACTATAACAAAACTGTAATGAATTGTTTTGCAATTGTCTGACACATGTCTCCTCCATTTAAAGTGAGACGAAGTAACTTTCTCTTCTGCTATTTTGTCAGTATACGCAGAAATGTAAATGGACATGTTTACAATAATATTAGCAAGAAGTCGTTACAACAGGAACGAAAATTCTACTACTACTGGCAGCTACGTGTATAATGCCAACACCAAGACACAAAAAGTTTTGTATGATTGACTAACGATAAGTAATGCAATTATCATGGTTCGTTCTCATCATTATGGTGGCTGTTGCTCTCACGCAACTTTGCGAAAGAAAGTTTAAATGTCTACAATACTGTTGGAAAAATACCACTTTCCACTAAATTTGTCCAAGGTAAAGATTCGCAAAATATGGGAGACATTTATTTACTCGGTCAATTACGTAAGCCAAAAACTTTTGACACAGTCTTGTATAAAAGTTAATTTGCAAAGAATTTAATATATCGCTGCGAACTTTTTTATTACGATTCGTCAAACTTTAAATTAAACTCTGTACAAACTATGCGCATAATTGGATTCATAGCGTAAGCAAAATTCCACGTGTTTTGTTTGAAGTATTATAATGCTCGTAGTAACCGGTCCCGTTTAACTAACTAATCGAGCTTACAATTAGTCGTCTTTTATCCAAATACATATCTATCTCCTGTGTCAAAGGTGACCCCACAACTCGAAAATGGACATGCTCTACAAGGAGTGGGAAGCTTATGGAGATGGTGGACATCATTGAGACAAAGAATATTATGAATACAGAGAGCAAATCATGCCAGACTAGACGGTGGGTGATGATAATATTGTTATTATTCGTGAAGAATGGAACATCCAGTAGTGTGATCCAATCTATTATGAGGCAAGTTAGTGTAATGTTGCCAGGCCGGAGAGAGAGGGAGAGAACGCGTAAGACCGCCCTCCATTCATCCAGAAGTAATGATCCCAGCCCTTCTTTCATCAGGACTCCGCCTGGATGGCTCCGAACCAGGCAGCCATCCCATTCCCCCCGCAAACCAGAACCAGCACACTTCCTCCTTCGCTCCGGCACAAAAAGAATCCACAATCCACTCCAACTTCTTCAGTTATTCAGTCACACCACTGCGACTCCCTGTTCTTCTCTCTCTCCCACCTAAAAAACCCTCTCCGGCGGAATATTGAACAAGAGTCCGAGTTCGGAGGAAGCAAGTATGTGGATGTATGATGATGGTGATGGTGATGGTGATATCTTTACGGGGCTCGGTTCACCGAAAGTCAAGGCCACAAATATTTCTGGATTAACTTCCTCACCTAAAGTGAGTGAAAAAATATGAAGGAAGGTGTTCTAATGCAAATTATGAAATCACAACAATGCTTAATTGTCTGTTGGTAGAAATAAATTGCAAAGTTTTCAGGATGCTGTGGAGGAAAGTTGTGGTGGTTTGGGAGAGTTTTAGTTAAGCCAAATTGTTTGAAATCCCATGTTCCAGCGACCAGAGGAGTATACGCCCGGCGAGGAAGGAAGAAGTAGGGAAGCGAGTAAAATGTCCCTCGATCAATTTCATGCCCCTGCGACGCGTGTAAGTAGAGAAATTTACTGGAAAACTTTGGATGTCCATAAACTACACGGAATCTCATTTCATGATGACTTACACATCCACTCGGCTGGTGCTACTGCTACGTCGACTCTGCTTTTGGTATGATGTAACCTTGCCGGAGATGGAGTTCAGTTTCATTTTCACCATTTCCTCCGGTATTAGTATGTATACCGGATGACCTTGCAGCAACTCCCTCCCTTCTGCCACGCACTGGGTGGAAATCGCTTCACAGGAAGTTATTTTAGAAGTAAAGGAGAATCTGTGTGTACCGGCGGCTCTGCAGTTTCGTGGTACTTGGGTATTTTCGGAGCGACCTGTATATCCTCATAGTTTAGTCTTCCCCGGTTAATCGAATTTCGGTTTAATTAACTTACCTCAGACCAAGCTTGTTCAAAACAGCTACCATGCTCGGATATATGATTTACTGGCTTTATATCTCCTCTCATACATATCACGCACCCGTCTTGAAGCGCAATGCTCTGCTCTCCCTTTTCAAAGTTGGTTCTAAAACCAAAGCCAAACAAAATTAGATAGGTGCTGAGCTACTTTTGGCGAACCTGGCTGGCTGAAAATGTAAAACGAAATTGGAGAAGCTTGGCAAATATGAGTAGTACGCCAAAGTACCTCTGCAAGTAAATAACGAGACGAGATACCACTTTCTTTGAGTTTGCTTCAGCGAAATGAAAGTGAGTCGGTCGGGTAAATATTTTACAGACGTCGAACCCAATTGATCTCCTGATCTTCCAATGTTCTTCGTGATAAAATATCAATTCTTCGCGACGACAAGTTAAATAAGTGCATTTAATATATTACAGTTTCGTCTTGTGCAATACAGCGAAGGCGATCGTAAAGTGTAGGATGATATGACCTCACATGACGAGTAACATAGTTCCGCCGCTGCTCCTGCTGCCTCCAGGCATTACCAAATTTACCAAATTGGTTGGCTCGGTGGAATGAACGGATGGATGGAAAAGCCGAGTGCCATATCCAGCAAGCAAGCATTCACCAATTGACTACTGAAGTGAACTAAACTGGGAAGGTAACTATAGTCGGCTTGTAATAACTGTTTTTGTAGGGATGATTCAAATTAGTTGGGTATTCGCGATTCGCTCATCCACCAATTCTTACCATCATCTCGTTCTACGGGCCACTACGTGATCGCCATCGACAGACCATGTATAAGTTAACATGAAGTGCATATGTACATACTCTACCGAAACAACTACTTGATAAATAATGCAATATTATATATGAATCTTAAACCTCAAGCTAAACTTTCTTCTTCGCACTTGATTGTTTTATAGATTCGAGGCATGATCTCACAAACTCCCTGAAGGAGTGAAGTGAAAGTACAATTTTCTTTAGATACCCACCAGGAAGATTAGTCGTTCAAATATATGGAGACTCCATAATGGAGTCTGTATGTATTTGTGGAATTCGTGTAGGCGCAGACATGTAAAGTTTCAACGGCTTTGTAATTATCACTCCGTCAAACGACTCTGTTTTCTATAGTCGTTGACAAGGTATCCATCACAATTATAAATACAAAAAACGTAATGGCAGACATAATAAAATTTTATGCTTCATGATTCAATCAGAGATCAGACATACGTGGCCTCTTGTATGTGCAAATATGTGAGACAGCCAGTCGTTCGTCCTCATTATTATCCGTCTGGTGAAAGTGTGTCAGCCAGTCTTGTCTTTTTCTATATAATGAGGAAATCAAGTCCTATTATCAGTCTTAATAATAATAAATTGCAACAACGGTCTAGTAGCTGAGCACAATGTCATTAAATTATTGTTTGCAGCGCTAGAAGAAAGCACGTTGCAAAGTGAATGAACTGGTTCAGGAAAAAGTAATAATACTAATCCATAATAATAATAGTAATAAAAATAATAATGTAATAATTGAGACGGGGACGAGGAGCAATGAGAAGTGTGTTGCAGCAGGTAATAGTCCATGATTAATGAAGTGGATGAGGATGGAGGCATCAGACGGGAAAAACGGTGTTGGGTGAACAAGGTCGCCGAGAAGATGATGATACAGCAGCAACAGCATCCAACCACCCATCCAGAGCATGCAGTCGATAAACAAACAGATAAGAAATGGGTTTAAAATTGTAGGAGTGGAATAAAGGATTAGGATTAGAGAGTAATCAGATCCGATGGATGGATTCACTTGGTTGAATATACCACAAGAGAGCGAGAGGCATAAAAAGGAACTGTCTGCTTTGCTGCGTTGCATGTAATTTAGTAGGAAATGAGATGTTTGTTGACGACATCACTGCATCAAGATTGACTCGCTCGGCTCAATCCTGCATCCAAAAGTCTCTCCAAAGTTATAAAAGGAAAGTAAGAGGAGGAGGAGGCGGATGTTTCACAAGTGGATGGATCAAGGTGGTGGGTGAAAGCAGGACAAACTCTCAACTTTTCTGTCTGTCTCGACATCGCATTTTTCAGCAGAGTTAGCAACTGCATCCGTGTGCAACTGTTCATCAATAATTATGTAATTGAAGGGAACTACTGATTTCTCTGGAGAGAGAGAGAGCAATGGCTCATCTGCTCACTTTCGCAAACTGTACATCAAGCTGTACTTGTCACATTGATGCAAAAATGCAAGAATGCCAGGGGACAGGGTTCCGACGGTCGCGAAATGGAAAATGTGATTGAACGATGATGCAATTTCAGAAACCCTGTGTGCATCTCTGGTAAAAAGAGAAAAGAGCCGAAAAGAAGAAGAAGGAGAGACATGAGAATGGTACATAAATGGAGCCGTATATGTGTACGTACATGGCTGGCTGGCTGTATATGTGATATAAAATAATGGGGAGAAGATGGAAGAAATAAGGCAAGGAAGGCACACACAGGACTGACGGGTGGGTTGACTGGGGGGAAAGCAGGCTGGAGATTTGGGAAGATGAGTAGGCTGGGCAACTCACACGGCCTGGAATTCGACAAGATTGTTGAGCCAATGCGCTTTCAGCCTGACTAACTCCAACTCTACACAACTAGCAGCACTACCACCACCACCACCACCAACCAACCAAACCAGTATCATCCCTACATGGAGCCTTCCGACGACGACAACGACGACGACGACCAAATAATATGCAAGCCAATTCTTCTTCTTGCGTTTTGTTCTCCATGCTCCCCTTCTTCCTTCTGTTGCTGCCTCGATGCAGGTCTGGGCCTCCCGAGAGTCTTCATAATATGTCGTGTGTCTCTCGTACATAAAATGCCTTCCAACAAATGTCAAGGAAGGAAAAGGTGACACCTATCACCACCACGGAGACGTTTGCTACCACGAAATATATGTCTATAACCCATTCTCACATGCATGCATGCAAACCAGTTACAAATAATACCACGGAGGGCAAGAGGGCATGAAATCCTCCATAAATATTGCATCGACAGCTCGATCTCTACACATTCTTTTCTGCAGAGTAAAAGCGGCCTCAGAAAAAAAACAGTGGGACGACCATTTATGGGACGACTTACTTTCACTTTTATACACCATTCCCCACTCACGATAAGAAGAAGAAGAAAAAGACGATGATATATGCGGATGGACTTTCACGGGAGGAATGGGATGCTGCTGATGTGGATGTGCGTCTGATATTCTCGAGTGGATGAATGAAACAGCAGTCATTGGCGGTGAGAGTATGTAGGTGATCATCATGTGTGTGGAGCAGGACTTGTCGATTTGTGAAAGTTGGTTAAGTGAAGGGATCTCAGTCGAAAGAATGAGAGAGAGAAAGAGAGGAAACCACAGGAAGTGAAGGAAGGAGGAGAGGAGAGAGAGGAGTGAAAAATTATCATCCCGAGGTAAGATTTTATCTGAGCATTTCACGCTTCATGGTGCATGTAGAGTGCCATGAAATCACGTTAACATAATGAGTCGTTGAAGAATATGGACCAAGTCCCGATGTTTTATGAACCGTGGAGGAAAGAGAGGAACAGACTAACCTAACCTAACAACCTCAGAGATGATGATAACCACAGGCCCACATTTATACATACTTCTTCACTTACGTGCTCTTTATTTAGAAGGCGGAAACCTCTTCACTTTTTGTACCTTCAAAACTAATCCAACTGCCCGACTTCATCGTCATCGTCGTCGTCTCATTAGCCATTTCTCACACTCGCCACCTTTTCACAGCCACCTTTACTTCCACTCGTCTTCTTTAAACCCATCCATCATTACCAATCAGTCCACTCCATCGCCTTCCCTCCCACAAATAAATCATGACTTTTCAACCATGTCCTCATTCATAAATCTGCTGATTGATTTTGCAAACATGTAAAAATATTGGAAAAACTAAATTTGTCTCGGCCCTTTCTTGACATTTAAATTTACAGCAAGTTCAGTTTATTCGAGTGAAGGGAGACGATTTTGCACGCTGCTGACAACCTCTTCTTATACAACTTGACTGACTGACATTTTAGGAAAAACTAACAGTGGAACGTTATGGAACCATGGGTAGGTATCTTGTGTACATATAAGGTCAGGTATTACAAAATGCATTCAGTTTAATGTCTGGGTGCCACTTCACTTTCCTTTAAAACTCATTTTTTTAAGTGACCTGTCATTTACGGCAGTATTGTAAACTGGGCTGTAAACTCATTATCACTTGACAGCGGAAATGTCCACTAATGCCAAACGAAACAATAATTGATTCACTTTGAGGCAAACTTTATGAATAGTATCCTCTCACAAGCTCAACTTACAGGTTAGTTATTAGGCACTCTTTGTAAACTGAGTAAGTAAATAAGTGATAATGAGGGATTATCCTTATTTTAAGCAGGAGGCGTATTATGTCCCTTATTATAGAAATCCGTCATAAATAGTTACTTATTAGTGATGCCTATTCTTTCTTACCGTCCGCTCATTTCATACCTATGTCGCCATGAAGGATTAACCGTTCACTTAAATTTAATAAATAACTATCAATTACAGACAATTTTGGATGCAGGTTATCCATAACAATACAAGAAAGAAGCATTAACACTTTACAATGCATAATATAAAGTTCGGCTGAAAGGATATGTACATACTTTGCAAAAATAACTTGTCGCAAAAAGTTGAGACTCTTCAAACGCCGAGATGACACAAACTCCAAGTTTTAATAGAGCAAAGATGCACCTCTTAAATAATTTGTTGATATTTATACATGCACACATCGGCCTGCCTAGTCTGATGGCATGCACTACTGGGCTTCACCACCACATCATCACTGCAACGGTACGGAAACTGAGACGGAAGGCGAGTTCGAATCGCAGATTTGAGAAAAGGTTCTTCCTTCATGGGATTCGTTCGTTGGTTGGATGCCGAATTCGTATTCTGTTCTATAGAAGAGAGTGACGACGAGAGGACGACGACTATACTGCTTGGCTTTGGTTTCGAAAAAGGGCTGGTTGGCTGCAAGGGAGCTGCTGCTGCTGCTGTCTCCTCGAAATCCGACCGAGTGAGAGCATAGTTGGTTTGAGCAGTGAGAAGGAGAGCAAGTGTGTAAAAACAGTGGGATAAAGGTCCTCAAGTTGCAGTTGTCTATAAACCAATTCACTGCGAACAAGATAAAGTGTTTCCTCACATCATTTAACAGTATCACCATCCACCAAGTTTTCCTTCATTACACTTTATTCGCCAACAAAACCAAACCATCAAATCAATCTCATCCTCGTTCAACGCCCAATTAATTTCTTGCCCAACGCACTACCACTTTCTCCACCCGCTAAATTAATTATTTCGTCTTTCTTGCCATTTTCGGAGAGAAAATAACTTTGTTTTTCAAAGTGGTGTGTGCATGCGGCCGGTGTAAGCAGCATATCTAATTCGAAAAACCAGTGTCCTCTTCAGCAGTTTTTTTGTGAGAAACCATTTACTGTTTCTTCAAAGGATTACTATTCTGAATTACTAATCAGGATTCGTGGTACATATGTTTCAAGAAATCAGTAGCTGATCACGGACAAATAAGTGTGTTTATTTTATGTGTGTGTATGTGTTTTATTTCTAAAATAAATGTTGAATTTGTGGTGAAGCACATGAAACGGAAATTCATATAAATAATTCAAGTGGTGTTGGTCAACTAGAAAACAGTTAGAAAACATCAAGTTGAGGAGAAATACTTTCTCCGGTTGCGCAGCTTCGAATTTATAATCAAGTAATTTCCTTTCGTTTTATTTGGTAACTTTTATCGAGCATGAGTTTGGCTTCTGGTTAAGCAAACAACAAGGGTCAAGTCAAAGTGGTTTACATGGACGTGGTTTTTAGGGGGAAATTGTGAAAATTTGATCTGCAAGATTAAGAAGGAGTATTCCAAAATAAAATTAAGTTAGTTTGGAATTAATTGGAATAAAGTTAGTCTGCAAAATTAGTCTGAAAAACAGATTTACATACTTTCTGATAATTCTCAAGTTAAAAATATATAATTCAGTGAAATTTATTGTCATCAAGTTGTAGAAAAAGTCTGCTTTTTCAGCAAAAGTTTCAACTTATTCGATCTCACACTCCGTCTCATATTCAACATTAAAATCATTATCCTTTTATGCGTGGGGTTAGAAAAGATATTTTTGAGACTTTTGTATCTTCCTCTCATCTTGGAGAGAAATATAAAAAAAGTTTTATCCTGATGGCCCAACACAAATCTTGTACGTTGTCCCATTGAGTTTAAAGTTTGAAGAGAGCCCGACAACAAAAGCGTACATTTTCTGGAGCAATAGATTGCAACCAGCCCACACTTTGATACAATGAATGCAAACAATTATTTACAATGATGTGAGCAAGTAAATAATAGAATGTTTGGTGAGAGAGAGAGGAGTGTTTGCCATTGTTGATGGCTTCTGTACTTGTACGAGATCACATCACATATAACACACGTTGATAATAATAATAATAGTAATAATAATAATGCTCCTCATGGGTCCGGGTAAAAAGATACTAAGGAAGAGGAAATGAATAGATGACACTGAAGAGATCGTGGTGGTTGGCATTTCACAACTTTTTTTCAATGGGACGCCCCACGAATAATCGTCTTCTTCTCTCCTTCTTCGTGGAGGGTTTGAATTGGACGAGATGATAAATCAGGCTGACATCGACTCATAACAAGTCGGGAAAAATGGGTGGCGATTTTTATTTTATTTCACGTCCTTCGTTGCGAGTCGTATCTAATATTTCACCGAGTGTGAATACTGTCGATAATAATAGACTATCGATGGTATGATGTATTTACTTGATTGGAAAATATTTTTTGGTAGAGTTTTTATTGAGAAAGTCAGGAAAAGGTATTCGAATTAGTAGTATCAAATTTTCATGTTTTTTAAGTGTTCGCTACTTCGGCTATTTTAAAATCGATCTGCATTCACAAATTTCTATCGGGTGAAGTTGAAACAAAATTCGACAATATTCAGCACAACATTTTTCCCGTTCAGAGAGATTCCTGTCCAACTAAACGGATTATTCATTGTTTATTTAATCGTAAATTGAGACGACGACGAAGAGAGTGATCTGATCCTCCACTCGGGCCATCAATTGTGCTAGGAAGTAATGATAATGCTAACAAACAAGACAACAATTGCGTACACGTGGCACTTATTCACCTCACTTGTCAAAATGTGCCACGTAATGTCCACATTGTTATTCATTTGTACCCTTAATTGTGACTCGGATTAGGTTTCACATTTCACTATACGTACATATTTATGTGCACCATTGTGCTGTTGTGCTTCACTGATTGTGGTGACTGGAAGAGTGATGAAAGTTTGATAACCTGATTATTATTTGTTACATTTTGAGCTGCATGACATGGACTTTTCTAAATCAAATCTCAATTTTTATTTACATTTAGATTTCTAGAATCAATTCGTACTTTCATATATTTCAACTCAGAAGAGAAGGAATGTTGTGATGTATAATTTTAGCAATTACAAAATTATACACACAAAATTTATATTTCCATTTTGTTGCCAAAAATTAATTTGCATATTGACTTAAGTATTTTAATGGTTGAATGCATATTTAATTTGTATGTATGTATCAACTGTTTGGACCTTTCCTGTCTTCTAGTCACCCTTGTCACTGTTGTTCCCATTACTATGCAGGACACATCACTGTCTCGAGCATGTTGTTCGTGTCATGTCACATACAATTCGACTTGGTTGACCTTTATTTCTCTGCCTGAGCAGTGTCCGGTTCAAATGGATCGTCTCATTCCTTACCCCCATGACTTCTGTCTTGTTATCAACTCATCAGACTTGCACTAGTCACTCAATCTAACCTCAGTGTCATCTCATTGTGAATATGCGTCCATTTGTTACTCGATTAATTTGAGTGACAAATCAGTTAAGATTTTGACTGTTACTGGAGACACAATTAGTGACTGCTTTGTCATCCATTAGAATGGCGACGAACGATATTTTATGTCACGAAAACGGATTGAGAGATAAAAATTCTATGTGAATTGTCAAGTCTGCTTTCACTAAAAACATTTCGAAATATGGTTTATGGTTTAAAATTTATTATGTAAAGTTGTATGATATCCACAAAATTTTAAACGATATAAAGGTGACGAGAAATAATGTGTATCTAATAAATTTTTGATTATTTGAAATTTCAGATTTATTTTTGTGATTAAACAGTGAGTTAATAACAGCTTTAAAGTGGCTCACTGCAAGATCCAACCACTAGGTATACCCGAGATGCCGCACAAAGGTCAGTCCCAAGAATGTTCGTAACAAACCAAATTTTATTTATTTCATTTACTTCTAAAGTAAGAAATGCTCTCGGTTAATCTAACCAAATATTGTTGGTCAATGAAGCAAATGAATGGCAAAAAAGGAAACCCATTCGTCAAACCAACTCTTGTAATTCCAAGCCATAAATTAGTTAAAGAAAAAGTTTGCCGAGAATGTGAGCAAGTTAAGTGAGCCCCAATTAACCGGAGCAGCAGGGTATGAATATAAAGGACACAATCCTGGAGGATGAGCAGGCATAGACAGGCAGAAACCTGGTTGCTGCATCTACAGGCATGCCATGCTAGTTGCCGGAAGTTGGAGAAAGTTGTGAAAAATCTGGTAGTGAAAAAGTTTTCGGCGTCCAAGTGTAGTGAAATGGTTAAAGAGTTTTAAGAGAGTTTGGTGGTGGCCAAAAATAGGGCAATCCTAGATGGTTGGGTGGGTGGCTGTCGGTGGTGGGTGCAGCATGAGCCGATATTCGTTCTCCGCATAATTGGTCACCAAACGAGTCGTGAAGTTCGTGAAGGACACTAACCTTGAGTAGTCACTGAACTGGATGCGTGCGCTTATACGAAACCAAACCAGCCAAAAACCACCCACCACCAACCACCCGACCAACCAACCATCATCATCATCAAGTCTCAAATCAACTATTGACTCTCTCTCTTTCGGCTCCTCTCTGTATACTTTCACTCACATTTGCTAAATGTTTTACCAACTTTCTTCCTCAATCCGGCCCAACTTACAACTCTGGCAAGAATCGTATTCATTTATTCCACCGCCTTCTTCTCTCTCCAACTTTTACCACTCACTCACTCCGTTTTTAGCAGAATGCCTAAGAAGTGGCAAACTTTTATGAAAAGTTCAAAATTCATGTGCCAAATTTTTCCCACAATCAGTTCAAACTTTTTTCTCTTGACATTATGTTGAGGGAATAAGTGTGTTATTATTATTATTATTATGCGTTAAATGTCAAAACACTTTGATTGGTTTTCGAAGAAAGTAGCTGCAAAGATTGAATGTCGAAAGTTTGGGTGAACTTGTAAACTTATGCTATACAAAAAATAAGATTGATATGATGAGAGAGAGCATTTCTTACATAATTTATGCTTTTATTGTGATTGTGAAAAACTTAAATTATATATAATTTTTCCTAAATTGTGCAGGAATTGATCAATTTTTACGCTGATTCATACTTTTAGATTATTATTGGGACTCAATGAAGAAATTTGACACAGGGCATAGTGGTATAAATCAATTGGGTGGTGTGTACGTAAACGGGAGGCCACTGCCGGATTCTACCCGACAGAAAATCGTCGAGCTCGCCCATTCCGGAGCCAGGCCGTGTGACATTAGTCGCATCCTCCAAGTTTCTAATGGATGCGTTTCCAAAATCTTGGGGAGGTGAGCTTGACTTTCCTTTTGATGATGAGTAGTGGCGGTTAATGTCATAATTGGGAGAGGTTCTCGTGATGTATATTTGGCTCGTGAATTGGGAAGGACGGAGACGAAGTGTGTTATTACTGAAAGCGATTAGTCTCGAATAACAAGTACAAATAAGCCATGCTGCTGCAGAGCACTTACCCCACTGCTAACTGGGTATGGTTAGTTTGGATGGATGGATGTGCATGTTTCCTTCCTTCCTGTTTCTCCGTATGCTTTCCACTACTACGACTACTGGGATCAAGTAGTAGCGAGTGAGTGTGCATGCAGTGGGAGAAAGAAGCAGTGGGGTAAATAAATTGTGTAGCAAATAAGTGTCCATTCTTGCAGCAATAATTCCTTTCATTTGTCTCAACTAATGTGTTTGGATTGCAGATACTACGAGACAGGGTCAATAAAGCCGAGGGCTATTGGCGGAAGCAAACCTCGTGTCGCTACTGGCCCCGTTGTCACCAAGATTGCCGAGTACAAGAGAGAATGCCCGTCAATATTTGCATGGGAAATCCGTGATCGTCTCTTGTCCGAAGGAGTCTGCACTAATGATAACATCCCAAGCGTGAGTTTTAATCTGCATGCACAATAATTGTTCTTTGGCATCATCATGATATTGTTTTATACACGAAACGTTGTCATGTTTAACTGAAATATCTGAAAATACGTGGTATTTAAACCTACATACTTGATTTCGTACGACTTGTATTTATAGCTGTAGACTTTATTTTATATAAATAATTTGCCAACATTTTTATAAATCTCGTGGTGGTGAAACTCCAAGTCCGAATTTTATTTTGGTCTCCTGCTGTTATGTAAGGTTCTCGTTGGATATAAATATTTCGTGGTATGGTCAACAACAGGAGAGCGAACGAGAGAGAAGTCTCACATTATTTGTTGGTGGTTGTAGTAGTGTCCAAGTGGGCAGGAGATTAGTTTGATGTAAAAAGGCTGATGTAGCTTAAGTGGAGCTTAGAGCGAGGATGGATTGGTTTGGCATTTGGCATGGTTGGTAGTGAATATAAGGCCACACACACTTTGCTTATGTGGTGTTGGAGAAATAGCTTTTGGTTTCTTTTTCGGTAGATTTAGATGGGAGATTTCCATCCACGGCCGTCAACTCGATCAAATCAGTCGGCCGGAAAGTTCTCTCTGATGCATCCAACTTTTCTCTCTCTTTTCTTAAATTCTTGATGCATTCTCTCCTTTCTCCCTTCTTGCCTCTACTTCTTCGTCGTCTTCTCGTGTCTATCACGTCCCCTTCCAGCCATTTCCGACCTCTGTCCAATAATGTAAGCTGCTAACCTTTCTTCTTATCACTCTCCCTCCCAAAAAATCCTCTCTCTCTCCCATCCATACGTACTTATAAACACACACACACATGGCGGCCAACCCGTGGGGCAGGGTGGGTGATGTAATGAGATTTCGGATTTTACCGAGCAACGAGAAGAAGAAGGGGAGGAGGAGGATTCTTTCTTGGATTGGGGACGGGAGTTTCGGTTTCGGGAAAAAGTTTCCAATCTCACATTCAGCTCGCCATCTTTTTCAAAACTCTTTTTTTTCTCACATTTGCTTTTTACTCGTGCATCATAATGCCTGCATTTTTGTTGTGTTGTGTTGAAAGTATAAATTTCAAAAGTTATGGTCTCGTTTCTCAAACCACAGCTACATACATCCGTTTCTGAAGAATAGTAGTAGTCTTGTAAACACTATTAAATTGTGGTTTTCGTGCACCTATGTAGCGATGTACTTGAAGCTATGCAGGAGTTGGATTAAAAATCAACATGTCCGTTCAAGTGGAAGAGACGAAGGCTCAAATTTGAAATGTGAAGATTTGATTAAATGAAAGCCAAGAACTCCTTCGTCATTCTGAATTATGATGCATCAGTCTGCTCACGGATTACTTTATGCGTGGCTGCTTTTGAATTATCCAGTAAATCAGTCCACTACTACTGGGCACTTTTCACCCTTAATTAGTTGAAGTTGTGTATAGTCGTCCCACTCACTCCAAGCACAAGTGTAAAAGGATTGATTTCTATTCTGCAATTTGTATTTTAGACGTTTGAATGCAACTCCTTTTACGTGACGTAAACCTCTTTTTCTTTAATGTCTCGTATAGCCGTAACTTTTAGTCTTCATAAGTTGGACTCTAGCCGGTGGGCGTTCTGTTCCCCATGGACAATGAATTAAGCCCGATTCGAGACTTGTAACAATAAAAGGGAAGACGATGAGTAGAATGAAGTTATCATCTCCACCAGCCCTGCATTCATCGTCCTCAAGTCGTTGCAATGATGATGATGATGACGACGACGACGATAATAATGATGGCCAGCCTTTCAAAGGAATAAGGTTTGGAGCAGGAAGTTGAAATGAGAATGTAAATTAAATGAGTTGCCTTGGCTGGAGACTCGACGAAATCTCAAAACGAATTCAAGTTCATTGCAGCATGAAAATTTCTTACGCATGAGAATGCATACTCGTAGCATGATAATATTGAGCAAATGAGAGAGAGAGGAGAAAGAGGGACCGAAAGCTACCTCGTTTAACAAAGAAGATATACTCCTCAGTCAGTTAGGAAGGGACACAATTGGAGCGATTGTCAACCAGACAACCCGTTCTGAACAAAGAAGAAATCGTTTCAACGCAATTTGCAAATCATGTTCAAATCAAGAACTTGTTTAGTAAATGTCTGTACGTACATGGGTATGAGATGGGATGAGAGAAAGGTGTACAAATTAATGAAGGGGCGCATACTTCTAAATATATGTACATTAAATTTTATTGTATAAAGATTATTTTATTCTTCCCTTCACAATCCTTTTTCACTTGGGAAACCTCTTCAATTACAATTACCACTTGTACACTTGTTTTTGTACACATTTTCATTGTAATTTTATTACCGAGGGTTGGACACTAAAAAGAGAACAGCAAGGAAAAGGGTGGTGGTGATGAAAAAACGTGCACATTAATGAAACAAGTGTAAGCTATTATGCTTCACGTTGTTATTACCATTATTATTATTCTTAACACTGAACTGACTACCAAACCAAACCGCACACAACTATTAAGTCAGTCACTGCTTACTCGATACGCGATTGTACGTATTACTCAGCATTTTCAGCCTCCCATTTTCCATTCGCTCCCGCATTACACGGAAATATATCGTCTTTGTTGTAAAGCAATACTTCATGACGGAATGAATGTCCACATCATATTCAAGATCATTAAGTTCCTCCCGTGATGCTGGGTGGGTTCTGACACGTTTATTTATTATGAATTTATGCCATTCGGGCTGCAATTGAGGAAGGGAAAGGGTTCGGCTTGGACACCTTCTTTCACTCCCTTTCTTCTTTTTTTGCTACTGTATTTGATGGGCTTGATGGTTAGTTAGTTAGTTCGTTGGATGGGTGCATGAGTGGGGAGAAGAATAAGGGCTGCTAAATTGTGTTAATGTACACTCGCATTCTCTCATGATAAAGACCACGCCGATTCTACGGGATTGAAAGAATCCACAAGGACACATTCTGGGAAAATAAACAGAATGTGAAGTTGGGCAATTCCACAAAATCAAATGCAATGTAAAGATCACAATTTGGACTTGTAGCTCCAAAAATATGTGTTCTTGTACGCATTGTATCCCACACTTTTCAAGTGCTTTGCAACAAAAACACGAGTTTATTTCCGACGAAAGTATACAATATGAAAGCAGATGAAGTTGACGTGCAGTAAGTAAAGTAATGCTGTTCAGTCAATTCTGTTTTATATTATGTGTTCTGCTCCAGGACTGAGAAATTCACTTTAAATAAGTAAGTGGATAGATCTCTCTCTCTCTCTCCCTCCCTCTTACACACCAATGAACACAAATAATATCGACATAATCACATCCAGCAATGCAATCCCAAGTCCAAATCTGGAGTGATGGTGATCATCTATTTCTTCTTCCTCCTCCATAGTTTATCTGTCCCCTTGTTTCATCCGAGGAGTGACGTGACGTGTTTCTGTCTGTCTGTCTGTGTGTGGCTCATGTCAGCGTTCAGCTAGTTTTGTCAGGAAGTAATTATTGGACCGGTTGTCATCTCGCCCACTTGTGTTTGAAAATAAATAAGTATGCGAGTGGGGCTGACATATTTGGATAACAGGTAATAACAGGTGACATGTAAGAGAGTGTGAGGACATGGTTCACATATTTAGTCATGCATGTCAGAGCTTAGGTTGGTTAATTTTCCAGGTGAAAGTAAAAACATGTGTTCTCAATTAGAAGAGTATGCACACATGTCGGGAAATTTCAAACGTTTCTGAGCAAATAGGTGAAAATTTCAAAATCCATATATCTGTTTTGGTCAGAGAGAGACGGTTAAAAGTTGACTTAAAGGTTTAGGTAGGGAGCACATCACAGGTTGGTTTCTCTCTGCGCGAATGATTAGACATGTTGACTCCGGTGGTTGGTTTTGGTGTCATTTTCATTAACTGGATGAAAGGTGGAAATTTGGAAATGATGGAAGGGGGCGTCTGGGAGCGACATGAAATAATCAGAGAAAACCTTTGGAAATTTTGACGCGATGCTAGTTGGTTGGTTTTCATTTTGAGCAATGACGACTTGCTGTAATAAGAGTGAGTGGTGGTGAGAGTGAGAGTACGAACGAATTACTTTGTGGTTGGATGGAAGTCAAAAGGCCTTAGCGAAGTGAGCCTGTCAGTGCCAACTCTGTCTGAAAACATTATTTCCGTCCAAAACTCTGTTCAGATTTGTTGGTAAAGTTAACAGGCAGCAGGCGGAGCGGGTAAAGATCTCCTAGCATGTAAGCACTGCACAATATACAAGAACTAGTGGATGAATACGTGGGCTGAGCAAAAGTAGTCGTGGAAAGAGCTAAGCAATACCTAGAGAAAGAAGGCTCAAGCTCAAATTGAAAACAAGCACGGCCAACAAATACTCCTCCAACTCTGTCAATTCTTCTCTCGCCTAACAAATTTCTTTCTGAAATCCGGAGTCCTCAACCAAGTCAACTTTTTGTTGCTCTCACTCATACTTTCACTCCACTTGCTTTCTTGCCGTCCTCGTCGTCCTCGTCGTCTTCCTGGGTTTTCTATTCAACTATTTTATTTAGATTTCTACCCTGGGATGGATGCAGTCCTTACGCGCTGTGCGTGTGCACGCTCACAAGTCTCGAGATAGATCTGCATCGATCTATCTTAGATATATATGTATGCACTTACTCGGAGAAAGGAGGAGGCGGAGGGGTAGGTCGACCGACCACTATTTTCCTAACAGAGAGAAAGAAATGGAAGGAAAAGCAACTCTGTAGCGAAACAAGAAAAACTTTTCTATTTGAAACAAGAGTTGAGTACTAAGTATTAAATGAGTCTTTGTGGAAAATTTTGTTTATAAAAAGCCAAAGTACGTATAAGGACTTGCTGACAGGAGAGCTTTCCCTCCTCGCCTTAAAAAGTGTGTAGTAAATGTTGTGTTGAAACGGTGGATGGGAAATTTCTCTAAAAGTTTGGAATAAAAATAGTTTGTGTTTAGTGTTTCCTTAACGTCATCGTGCCGTTTTATATTTACGTATTGGCAATGTACGCACGGCAATGTCTCAAAAAGGCCTTTGAACCATTTATAAATAATAATGGGACTTGTGTATCATGGCGATGATGATGATGATGCTATCGTATAAGGCAACTTTTTGCACAGCTCGTTGTTTGGATGGAAATGCATACGATTGACGCGATATGATCTGATCTGATTAGTTGGATTTATTTATCCTTATTAATATAGAGTGGAAGTTATGCATATTGTGTGTTCTGCGAGCAGTTGTGAGTTATAAGGACGGGCGGAGAACTAAATATGAAAAAAATGTGTTGCATTTTGCGTCATCTGCATGCATTCACTTGGTATAAGTGAGTGAGTACAATCTATATCGTGGTCGTCGTGCTCGCCGTTGTGGGTTTGTTGGTCGTAGCAATGGTGGTTTTAGGTTAGTTTGGTTGACTGGTGAGTGGAGTGCGATTGAGAATTCAATTAAAGCTTAGATGAGACTTTTTTGGATCTGGGTAGTTTTTTCGGGTTTAGAATGGATTTCCTATTTCCGTGTTATTTCACATTTGAGTGCATCTGAATAGCATTGGCACGCTGCAGTGCACTCATTGAAATGGGCACCACCGTTCTGCTTCTTCTGTCCTCCTCTGCGCAATGTATGCAATCGACAAGAGAGGAGAGAAAATTGTTGTGACCCTTGCACGACTTATTATTATCCCGGACCTTAAACCTACATGGCTAGTTTTTGGACCGGGTGAGTGGTACGTATTCTTCTGCTGGGGATCGCATTGATGATGATAGAGTCCATTAACTGAGGCCTTTAAGCACCTTGTCCAACTTTAAGATTATTACATAAACTTCTGCCACCGCCTGACCCAGCCATAAAAATACGATTTCTACTGACCTCTTGGAACAGAATCTTGGAGAGAATTCTGTCAAGCAGTCTCAAGTCTCGCGTTGGTTGTGGAGATTCGTACTCTTTGACAATTTTTTTTGAGTAGCAGTCGAATTTAAATCCAGTCGGCCTGCTGGGTTCATCGTCACTCACGTCCCGTGTGAGTGGGTTCACTTCATTGAGCAGGATGATGATTTCTTGTACGATTACCTACTTCTGAATGGAGAAGTGGAGTGGAGGGTGATTAAGGCAGCAGAGAGATGATGACGGAAGGAGGGAGAGACGGAGCCGGACAATACGACCGAAGCCAGCCATTGTCCTCTAATTCTTTTCTTGTGCTATCATTCTCCCATCATCATCTCGATACCCCTAATCATCCAATATGCTCACACTGGCCTTCCGGAATTCAAAAGCTATCATTCATCTCTCATCCAGCCTTTCAAATTAAATGACAAGTGTCTCCTCTCCTTCGAAAGAGACGACGAGGACGACGACGACGATAACCTCTGGTCTTTTATTATATCGTCCTTTATTGTTCTTTGCTCCACTATTGATACCCACTTTTCGTCTCTATGTTCGTATTCGTATATAAAAATGCGTGGTTGACAGCATGACGTGAAGTGACAGGGTATGTAGTCAGGATAACATGTGATAATGTCGTAAAATGGTGGGAGCATAACTGGTGATAAAATATCTCAAATACATGAATTAGAAATGTGAAATGTGGATCCGCAAATCTTAATATCTTTAATTTTTAAGAGGCTAAGCACATGTTTCATAACTTATGGTTCAAGTCGGATAGTAACGAGAAATTATGCTTCGTACCTATTTAAATTATCCACATAACTTGATGGAAAAGTCTGGTATGTGCTGATGACAAGTAAGAAATTTAAAGTGGTCACAAATTGATATCGAATGAGAGTTCATTGGACGAGAAGAGAACGAGTAGAAAGATTGAATGATGATTTAGCACTTTCTACTGTCATGTTCCAATCCCGTGTGTCGTGTGGGTCTACTTTGTCAATATTCAATTGTGGTTTTTGCTTGTCAATTCCAAGTCAAAGTCTTATCGAGTATTCATGAGTAGACGACGAGCCAAGGAGAAATCACACAATCCGAGTCTTCGAGGAGGCTGCAATATTACTTATATCGCCATCTCATAAGATATAGGCTGAGACAGTTCTCCTCCATTTCGCCTTTCATGTGAGTGACTGAGTGAATGTGAATAAAATAAAATGTAATCTTGATGAGGATGACTCGAAATGTTCAATGCTTGAAACTGTGCAGGATTTGATTTTGATTTCTCCCCCGAGAGGAGTCTACACTAAAGTCGTCAATTTGCCAGCGATTGAATTAGTCTGATATTCAATTTAAAATTCAATCCCCTCCGAGACTTTCCATCAAGTTTTCCTCTCTCTCTCTCTCCACCAGGCAACCAACCATCCAACAAACCAACCACAACCAGTCTTCCTTTTGCGTATCATGCAGACCACCACTAAAGCAACAATGCCGACCAGCCTTCTCACACTTGCATACACAACTATTGATTCTTCCACCAAGAGCAGAATCGTTATTCTCTCCTCTCCAAATATTCAAAATGAACATGATAACTTTCAGAGTTGAACTTGGAAAGTGTCGTTGACGCAATTCAGGTGGCGATTACGAGATTTTCTGTAATGATTATTTCCAACAGATTCCATGAACATCTAAAAAAAATCATAATTAAGAGCCAAAAAATGTGAAAGCAGAGAGTTGCAAAAACCGAGTTTGACTACGAGTTAGTCCGCGTCATTAGACTCGTGCTTTCTCCACATGCATACATAAATCAGTGCCAGGAGGAATATTCATGTCCTGGTGTAAAGAACATTGCGAGAAAGGTGCTGAGTTTGGACATTCTCTTGTGTGATTGGCAGGTATCCTCGATCAACCGTGTTCTTCGGAATTTGGCAGCGCAGAAGGAGCAGCAGAGCGGAAACCCAACGGCGGACTCGGTGTATGACAAACTGCGGATGTTCAACGGCCAGGCGGCAGCCGTGAGTGCGGCGGCAGGCTGGGCGTGGTATCCGGCTGGAGCTAATCCTGGAACAATCGGACTCCCTCCACCCACAACTCCACTTTCCGCTCCGATGCCACCCTCCTCGGCCCGGGATGACCCTCACAAACGAGGTATGAATGCATCACACCTAGTTAATAGGCCTACCTACCTGTTCCAATTAACGACTTATTCCCCATGCATGGGTGCTGTCCAATAGTCGTGGGTAATCAGCATCGTGATGCGGTGCTAATTTTACGTAACCGGCTAATTAGTTTTCATTTGACACTTTGAATGATCGAATTTCACATGTCCAAACATTCGATGTGGACAATGCCACTATTCAATAGTTTGGTCATCTGTGTATGTACATACGTATACACATTTTGTTACGAGTTTCATAAAGTTTTCTATGAATCACCGCTTTGTTGCATGGGATCAACTCGAGAGAGCTTACTTTTAAGCAAGAATGGGTTTACAAGTTTGTGGAAATGCTACGTACTTGAAACTATTATGCACTTCCCCTGGGATAACATTTTCTTAATCATGTTGACTCATTCACTACAGTGCAAGATGTACAGCTTCCAGTATCAATGGTGGCATAAACATGGTGCATGACAGTTTGGGATAATCTTGTGTCATTTTGTCGCAACAAATGTGACGTACAATGTATCTCACCACTCGGGAGACACTTATCCCTTGAACAAGTTGAATTGAAATTATAATTCAGCTCTAGGCCGACTTGGGCCAAGTCCCCTTTCACTTGAGTTATTTGGAGCATATTATAGTATGGAACTCGCTTTATTATTTTATTATTCCCCGCTGTTACAGTAAATATATCCTTGAGAATTAGCAGTTCAATTCGATATTTCAATTTTTACAATTCTTCTCAGAATGTTACGATTAGAATTTTTGAAATAGCAAAAGTTGGTTCAACAAAAATGTATCGTAAAGAAAAAATTCACGTAGGTTAAAATTTATCCCTATATAAACTGACTTATCATTTCGTAAATATAACTATCGCTTTTTCTGAAAGTATTGAATTATTCGATCCATTGTCAACTTTAATCCTCAACCATTGAATCGATCTACCTCGCCTCTCGCTGTTTAGTTTTTGATCCAAATGCGAGAATTGGGAAAATAAGTCAGTTTCATTCAAAGTACATTTTCATATACGACATAACACATACATACGAGCAACATTCTTGGCTGAATGGAGTCCGTGTTGAAAAATTACATTGTCAATCTTTGTGACCCATTAATAGGTAAGAAAGTTGGTCGTAACAAAACCCAATAAATTCTTGATGCGATGTCCTCGTGAGATCGTCCTCGACCATCAACGTCTGTCCGTAGCACCCATTTCATACAACTTTTATCCCATTATCAACCACCAAGCTGTTTATTAGCTGCCCATTGTTGACTAACATTTGTGAGGATCAGATTTTTGATGTTGGTCGCGTCGCCTCCACTCGACTCCACATGGGTCTATTTTCATAAGAATAAGTGTTATTCACTTCACATACGCGTACCTTTGCTTAACAACACTCGTGGGTCGATGTAAAGTAACAAATTATTATTGGGACTGTTGGCACCCATGGGAAAATTGACTCTCGGTCATGAGAATCCATACACATTTACACTTTGTGAGATTGTGTGAATGAAAATTCAACTCTCATTCATAACTGATGTCAAGATGCCATTTATTTTCATTCTCATTCATGAGTCCAGTTCTGGATCTGGCTTCGTGTGGGCGTTTTAAATTTATCCTCTAATGTGACGTTGAAGATGAAATATGACGAAACACAATGCAACAATTCGAAATTCGATTATTGAACTGGATTATTGTAAAACGGCAGGATTTTTAAGTGAGACTGAACAAGGGAAGGAACGAATCATTCATTGATGCACCTGAATAAGTGGGAAAAAAAGAAAATTCTTTAAAAGTTTTTTTCTCAAGTCCAAGAGATCAAGTCTTATTGTGAATGGAGGGTTTGTTCGGGTAAAATTTATTGCTGACCTTTAAACTGCTCTTATTTAATGTATCGGACAAATTCATACAATCCAAGTGTGTTTGGCTATGTAGGATATTTTGTTATACGTCTTGCACAAGTTGACTTACACTTACAATGGCCAAATTACGCAATTGTTGCTCTATCCTGGCATCATAACTGATTAATTAATTAATGTATGTATGCCGTATGTCATATCAATGAATATTCAACTAACGATAAGTTTGCCATATTGTCAACTATGAATGACAGTTCGGACAAGAAATCCTCCACAAAAAGAGTAGCATTCGTTAGTCGGTCTAATTTAGCTATGTTTTTGCCGGTAAACTAATCCATTTGTGTCCTTATTTTGAATCCTTTGGCTGCCTCAAGTGGTGAGAGTGTATTAGGTAATTGGAAATGCTCTTTTCACCGGCAAGTACCAAGTCTATTCAACCGACTTGGATTTTAGCTCTTTCATCCCTTTTTGTGCTGGCTTTCCTCTGTGTCCCTATCAAAATCGACCCACCACCACAATCACCACACAGGCCGAATTTACTCAGGACGTACGTTTAATCCTTCCCTCATTTATTTAGAGGCCCCATGAAAAGCAAGCAGTATTCACATACATATTCCATACCGACAGAGATGAGATGCTTACTTGTGAAGAAAAGAAGCCCGAATGTACACATTCGTGTCAATCTGCTACAAATTGTATGAAACAAAGGCTCAACATGGTGAATGGAATACATTGCTTGAGAAGATGAGTGCAAGACACATTTAGTCCGATGTCGTCATCCACTCCCCATTTTAGTTTTCCTACAAACAAAACTTTAAAGTGCATGGAGAAAATGTCAAATGAGTTGATCAATTACTGATCTTGTTGGGGAGTCGTTCGTTGAGTTGTGAACAAATTTTCTTTGACTCGCATCCGAATATTTGAACTCATGTATCATTCCGTAAAAGGACAAGACATATGAATAGCTAGGAATAGATCTAACAGGACATGTACGTAAAGCCATAGGCATGCAAATATAATATCAAGCTCTTTGTATAATACATCATATATGAGAAAGAAAGAGAACTACTCCATTTCTGATGGGTTTTCCACTCCCATTAAGAAGCAGAGTCCAGAGAAAGAGAGGAAAACGACTGGAGAGTGAGCCAGCCTGCCTCCGACTTTTTTAAGATCAAAGGTCTCATCTCAGAAAACAGATGATGATCACTTTGCGAGGACGATGACGAGGACGAGGACCAAAGAGAAACATTCGCAGTTGACATTGTAACTACAAAAGTGGATACACGACTCGTATAACACGAGTTGCTTAACAAAACAAGGGCAGACTCTCTTCATCTCATTTTGTAAAGGTAGAGAAAAGTAAAGGATGAATTTTTAAAGTTTTTTTTTCGGAACCAACTTTGAAGAAACACAAAAAAGGCTCAACAAACATGTTATACGTACGTGAAGGATCCGTTTTCTTAAAAAGTTAGGCATTACATTACACACCTGGAACAAAACTTTTGCTGTTGTTAGTTCTGGGCAGAATTGAAACTCTAGTTTGATATTAAATTTCAAAGACGTTCTTTCTTTTGTTGCTATTAGCTCATCCAGTTGACTTGCACAATGTTTACTGTTCTTATTATATGAGATACATTATGATTTTTTGGGAAAAATGATTCGTACCCATGTCCCTCTTTTTTTGTCTTATATTCCAGGAAACCATTGAAAAATTGTTTGATTTTTAAAACTACAAAGGGCAAAGGGTCTAGTTTTTCATTCTTGAAAGACACAATCATTTAAATGAGATAGAGTACGAGACAAGAGACATCCTCGTAACTTTATTCAGACCAAAATGATGTCTTATTATTTTGTTTTTAATGGCATCGTCCCACAAATTGTTTGTCTCGTAATCGTAACATAAAGTTATGTAATTTTATGACTTTGCAATATTTTATACCGTTTTGCATAAACTCTGATTAAGACTATAAAACTTTGAGGAGCTCCAACTCACTCAGTCACTCGTGTAAGATGCCATTTTGACGAAATAAGCAACAAGGCGGACCAAGTAACCTTATTTGGTTCTCTGATTGTCCCCAAGTTTTAAATTTCTTCTACATCACTGAGCTCCCTACTAATTAAGCATATTTGGACTACAGAAGCTTCAAAGTTTTATTAACTCTGAACGCTTTGAAGTTGGCCGAGTGAATATGGGTATTAATGAGCGTGATGACTGTAATGACGGGGAGGAGGCATGCTTTTAGACTCAATTTTAGTATGCCAAACTGAAATTAGTACAAAATAAGTTTTGAAAGTATGCATAATTGTCCTTCAAACCTGTTTCTTGTTCCACTTTTCAAATATTTGTAATCTATATTGATAGCTTTTCATATATAAAAAATACACTTGTACGTACCCAACTTGAATTTTGGTTTCCACTCTCTTCACCTAGCTCAATAAAATATTTGGGCAATATTTGGCAACTTGTGTGCACAAAGGGGTGTTCCTCCTCGCGTGGAAACATATGCAAAACCGGGCAACGCGGTGGTTTTCAGGAACCCCGGGAGACTAGGTTTGTTATGTAGATTGGTTCATCTCCATACAGAACGGACTCTCGTCGTCGTCTCTCTCTCGACAGGGAACTCTGCATCCCACGGCCTCCTCCCAGCCCTTAAAAATGATGAACGGATGCCGTCGTCCGGGAGTTTGTTAGCATTTCCACCTGAATTACTCTGCACACAGAGGAAGGAGAGAGTGGAAAAGACGAGGCCGAAATGAACCAAACACACATAACACACAATCCTTTCCGAGAGAGAAAGGGGACAACGTGGTGCTGATGGTAGCGTACACGAAGCAGGCGTTATGTCATCTCACAAATTTCAAACTGTTCCACAACGAACCAATATCTGCACAAGGAAGACGAAGGGTAAATCATTATCGAGCATTGTTAACTGCTGCTTAGCAGTGTTGATTTCCCACTCCGCTTTCTCTCACTGTTTGTCCTTCTCGTAATTCAGTTTGAGTTTTAGTGGTGGTTTGGCAGAGCAGAGTGTTTTGATAGTATGATGATGCATGGACTTACATATCCAAAATTTGAGCTGATCCACATTCCCAACACACAAATTGCGAGCTGCATATCCTTTTCAGAATCAAGTTGGGTTGGTCCTAGTGATGATAGAGTCAGAGTTGGTCTACCTTGACTGGAATTTGGACATACATATGCAAAATTTATATATACACAAATCGGTAGCTGGAAGCTGCAGAATAAAATGTGGAACACTGTCATCTTTAAGGGAGCCATTTCAAATTCAAATTGAAATTCATGCTCAATTGTGAGGAGTGAATCTTACACTACATTTCACCCATATATACATAAGTAAATGCAAGCAGTATAGTCAAACCACGAGTGCACCTCGTCTTCCTGATTAGAAAACCGGAACAGGACATATCGTCGTTGGGTTGACTTGGTAGAAAATTTAATGCAAACTTTGTATCCTGCATTGTTCTGCGGTGTGTGTGTGTGGGGAGTGGGATGACATTCTTTATCATCTCCAAACCTTTCACAATGTTGGTTGAGGAGGAAGAAACACACGAGGAAAATTGTATTCTAACGGATATTATACGACCACTTGAAGCCGATTGGTTGGAGTGGTTGGCAATAAATAATATTCGTGGCATTTCCAGAGCATGCGAAGCTCAATAGCTTAGAATTATGAGTCTTCCTCTTCCTACTCCTCCGCCTCCACCGACTTTTCCGTCCTTCTTCATTCTCCTCTTGGCTCTTGTGTATTTCTTGATTTACTTTTTGTACCCGCAAAAAAAAGAAAAGGTAGCCCGTATTTTTACTGCTAACTCGAATCCAGTGTACTTGAACTAATAAGTAGCAAGAAGGAAAAGAAGAGAGAAAGCGAGGGAGGGAGGAAGAAGGAAGGAAGGAAAAGAAAGTTTTGTGCGGAGCATTATTGCATTCACGCAGTTGGATGGAAAAAATGAAATGAGGGAAAAGTTGTGAGAAAATGGGACTATGGCGAATGGTGGATAAGACCCTTTTAAATGCGACCCAAACGTAACAAGATAGAAAAAAAGCTTTATATGACGAGCGCAAGTTCATTTCATTCCCAAAGGATTTATCCACACGATACAATACAACACAAATTGAAGGTCTTGCGTTTATTGCATTAGTAAAATCATGAAATAAACGAAATCATTGTTATTGCCCCAGGAAATTTCAGAGTCATTTTATCCATTCGTATGTATGTGCATACATTCCACCGCAATATTATATTCACAACTGAAGAACGGCCCATTGTCTCGGTCGCTGCTGGGAGAAAGCGAATGAATACATAAATTTTTACATAACTTTTCAATATTTTCCTTCTAAATTTCCAGAAGTAAACAGCGAAGGAACCTCGGATGGGAATTCTGATCACAACTCATCCGCCGACGAAGACTCCGAGCTACGACTCCGACTCAAGCGAAAGTTACAAAGAAATCGTACCTCGTTTACAAATGATCAAATTGAAGCGTTAGAAAAAGGTGTGGTTTTTACACTCTTTCTCAGCCAGAGCTGTTCTGGTCCACCTGATTAATTGCTAATGTGGACTGAATGTTGATTTTCCGCAGAATTCGAGCGTACTCACTACCCTGACGTTTTTGCAAGAGAAAGGCTTGCAGAGAAAATTGGTTTGCCAGAGGCCAGAATTCAGGTGAGTATATGTACATACAGTGATTGGAGAACCTCCCTTTCCGTGGTCAACCACCGCCATGTGCATGTCAATTGCTTTGACAAAATCAAACCTAACCTCATTACATACAGTTCCTGTCTCTATTTGCTCACAAACAGGCTTAATTATGACTTTGAGAGCTGAAATTGTTAAATGAACCAGACTAATAATTATCCAAGGACTAAAACTGACTATTTATGTGGCCTCCCTTGTAACATTATTATTATTATTACGAATTGCAGGTGTGGTTTAGCAATAGGAGGGCGAAATGGCGTCGGGAGGAGAAGCTGAGAAATCAACGCCGAGGTTCATCCGACCATACGGCCATTTCTCCCCCACCAACAACTGCCAGCTCTGGTCGACTCCCATTAAACACCGGGTTCAACTCCATGTACGCTTCTCTACCACAACCTATCGCCTCCATGCCAGAGTCCTACAGGTAAATACAGCTCAAATCTGTCAGCAGTACGTAGAGTAGAGAGTTGGGTTGTTTCGTCGCTTTTATAATCTGGAGCAGAATGTGGAGAGATAATCCATTACATAGAAAATGATTTCGTGCCCACTATGCTACGTACATGCATATTCCAATTCCACCATCTTCACCATCTGCTCATCATCATTGTTCAATTGAAGTGAAATCATGGAGTTTAAAATGGAAAACCACAGAGCAGTGTGGATTGATGGATGCATGGTTTGGTTTGGTTGGGATGTTGAATTTCCAATGAGACAGGTTCGTCTGAAAGGGTTCTGCCATTGGATACAATTGACAATGTGATGTATTAAATATTTATGTACGTGCCTAGTGGGAAGTCTTATTGCTTGGCTTTGTACGTTGCGCTGCGTTGAATGCATCGCACAATGGAGGAAAACTATAATTTTAATCTCTACTCTTGTGGAGATGCCGTGACCAACCAGAAATCTCAGCGGATGATAAAATAAAAAGATGAATAAATGCAATAGATAAAAGTGTCAGTCAGTCCGCGTCGTCCATCCCGACACAGGATTCATTGATAGACGGGCCCAAGCTCCTACTTGAGAGAGGATTTGAATTTGGATTTTGAAATGGAAAAACTAACCAATGCTTCAAATAAGGATTACATTTATTGTGTTGTTGATCGTTTTTGAATCAATTTGATCTCGTTGTTGGGTGGGATAAGGAGGGCAGAGGAGAGTGATGATAAAGGAGTAGAGTTATTATTGGGCACTGGCTAAATGAAATCACGCCATGTAATGCTGGATGCCGGGTTGGATGGATGGTGAAGATTATTTTTTTATTGAGTCTTCGTCGTCGTCGTCGTCGTCGTCGTCATCGGCGTGGTTTATTCGTTGCATCATTTCTGCTGCTAGTGATGATGGTGTCGGGGTGTTGGTGGGCGTAATCGTCATTCCTTTTCGCTTCGAATTTATTATTAGATTGGACCCAAATGATGTCTAAGCCACTGCCTTCTCTTTTGTCTGCCTCTCACTCACAAATACCTTTCCTCTTCCTCAAATCCTCTCTTTTCCTGCTACCACCACTTTCCACTGCGTATGACGAGGACGTGTAGGAGTTGGTCCTTAAATTGCTCCTGATTTTCTCCTCCTGCGCTGCATTCCTATTCCTGCCGACTGAAAGCAAAAGCTATTATCCGCTCGCTTTCTGTGTCGCTTCCAAATCAAAGGAATCAATTTCATTCCATCCTTTTCAATTTGACGGGGACAAAGGGCTCTCCACATTCTTGTCACTGTTGTCACTTTCCTCTTCGATGCGCCCAACACCATGCCACGCAGGCAGGCAGGCAGGAGGATGCATGCTTTCCCTCACACAAAATGGGCGGAACGAACCATGGAAGGTGGTAGTGGTGGTGAAAAGACAGGTACAGAGGACCGTCGCCGTGGTGTATATCCGAAAAATTCCTGTTAGCCTTCAGAAAACTCCATGCAAAATTGCGTACAACTAACTAAGCGAGAAGAAATGTCCATATAGTCGAATCAACGTTCTATACTTTTCTGATTACAGTTCGATGTCGGGGAGCTTATCCAGCATGAGTGGCAGTTGTCTGCAGCAACGGGAGCCTGCTCATCCTGCAGCGAGCTATTCGTACATGTTTGCAGACCCACTTTCATCACTTGGAAGTTACGGGAGTAGGTCTCACTGTGGGTCAGGTCAAGGGTCTGGTGGGGTCAACTCTCACTCCTCCTATGGTCCCAACACCCACTCGGCTCACGGAGGAGGGGGCAGTCAGTATCACGGTAAGCCATGCTATTTTCTACCTTCTCCTACGTTTCCTTAAACCTGAGGCCTGATGACTCGTGTGTAAAACCGCATCCAGTTCCAGTGAAATATATATACGCCTTTTTATACTGAAGGGTTTCTTTCTCCCCTTTTTTCCTTAGGAGTGATATCCGCTGGAGTATCTGTCCCTGTTCAAATTCCCAGCCACGGACCAGATTTGTCTACCAACTACTGGCCTCACCGGCTCCAATGACATGCATACCATTAGACACCTTTAGTATAAAATAAATATTCCAGCCCCACAAAGTGACTCGAAATCAGCGGAATCAGCAATATCACCAACCAGTGGAGCACGTAACGTAATAAATAACTTGATGTGACATTTCTCAGCATACACAGCGACGGGGTCGTCTTGAAAGGGCGAACTTCCATGGGGCTGAGGTGCATGTTTATGGTTGAGTTTTGGTGGGTTGGTTTTAGTGGCGTGGCAATCCAAACCTCTGATGTAGTAGTAGAAGAAGAGCCTTCTTCTTGTGCTATCAAATAAATTCTGTACCACGGCGCAAACCGACTGGAATACTGAATACAATCCAAATCCTACCGAAACCAATCCAGTCCATTTTCTAATCCTATCAGTCTCCTTCCCTCACTTTGTGTGTGTAACTCTTTAGAACCACCACCAACCACTACCAAATAATAATAATGTCTACCAAGTGTTCCTCCGTCGAATATATATGGTCAAGTATTTTATATGATCTCAGCTTTAATTTTAATCCTTTTCTCTCTCACGTCCTCCTCCTCCTCCTTTTCTCTTTATCTATCTACGTAATCTGCTGTATGTACATTCCCAGTTAAATTAATGGGAAATTGCTGTTTCCATTGCTGGACTTTAGTGCAACTCTAAATTTGCATCATCCATCTTCTTCATTTCATGCCAAGTTAAGAACAATCCGTAATGCAATCGTCTAATTATGTCATTATTATCGCATAATATTCTTCATCTCTTTAATCAAATCACGAACATATATTTTTTTACATTGAACACGTATTGTTTCCTTATTTGTGAGCATGCATGTCAATAAAATTGAAGGTCCATTCCAATCGTGGAAGTAGCGAGGAGAAAATTTTATAAAAAATCAATAATTTCAGATTCCATTGTATTGGCGTAATATTTATTTGACGTGACTTGTTCAAGGTTCGGAGAACAATATATAGTGAATATATACCTATGAACCCTGTGGTAGTAGTATTAGTATTGAACTGAACAATTAGTTTACTCATTAGCTATACATACATACATTTATCGACGACAAGTTGTAAGTAAAAAGCTACTTAGTGACTGTGCAATAATGCAATTGAACGCACTATCAACCACCACCATCATTATTCATATTATTAATTATTATATCGTTTATCTAGGGGGATTATTTATTTAAACGGTAGCATTAAATATATATATATATGTAACTGTACCATACTGCATACTCCATATTTTAACTGTACATTACAATAAATAGCCTAGTGGTTAGAAATTTTGTTAATTTCTTTACATTAAAAGTATGTAAGAAGCATTGGTGAGTATAGAAATTATTAGTAGAATCGTATGCATGAGAATGACGTGTATTGAGAAAGTGACGAATATTTTGTAGCCATTTTTCAACAAGTCCATCATCATAACTGACTAGAAAATCGATCCCTTTGACTTTTATTCCTCATGAAATGGAACATGAGGGAAAAACTATTCATAGCTTCTAATTTTTTGAAGACGATAACGTTCCTGTCCTACCAAGAGCCAAAAACCAAATTCACTCCATACCGCAAAACTACTTATGAAGTGTGGGTGAAGCAACCAATTTTTTGCGGATTGTACAGAAATAATAAATAAATTTCGTATCTTTTCTGCCAATTCATTCTGATGAGATCAGCGGAAACAGGGTCAATATTCATTACTATTTATCCATGCGGGAGGTAACCTACAAATAATTCTATAAGGAATGACTACGAGAAAATTAGCATTTATCAATTTATTACATTTACTACCACACTAAATAAATATGTAGTAGCGAAGCATAATCTTTAAAAATATAGTGAGTAATAAAAAATGAAAAATAATTATACTTAATATTGTTGTGTATTGAATTATTAAATACGTACGCAATTTAAACTATGTAACAACATGAATAGCCGTTTAGTTGTAAGTATTTACGTAGTAGAAGTTTGACTTGTAAGTAACGGAAGAATAAAGAAAGTAATCATAACATGTAAGTATTATTATCTTGATGAATACGAATGTTTTGTCGAATCAAGTCAAGACTATGATGATGAGATAATATGTTAAGTGAAGTAAATCTTTGCTAAAACAAGACTGAATCAGAGTCCGTGTATCCTTTTATTTGTCATATTTACAAATCCGTGAGAGAATTAATGTGGACAGTGCATTTCATAAAAGTACAAGGCGATGGTTATATTCTAATTTTTCAAACTTAATTACAATGCGCAAGTATAAACTTAAACTACAAAAGTTTAATAAGAGACTCATACATAAGCTGCATACGTATATATATTTTGTGTTCATCACATCTTTGTTCTGTGTAACGAGGGGTCAACTGCGACAACCAGACGAATATTGTAGAATTTTTATATGGAATAAGTAAGTTTTTTGAGACGTTATGATCAACTAAGTAACGGTGTTCGTTCTGAAGGGATTGGGATTGTTGTGACGAGGACAGGGGCCGTTGGTTCATACGTCAGTCTTGAATCTCCAGCATCATTAGTGGGCCAGGTCGAGGGCGTTGGTGGGAAGGGGACTCGGTTTTTTTCACGCCACAACTGAAACGCCAGTCCCGCAAGGGCTAGGACTGCCCAGGTCGTGGTAAGTATTAAATCTGAAAAAACGGGCGGGTATTAGAAAGAAAGTTGCATAAAAATGAAAATGATAAAAATGGAGAAAGTTTGAGGATGGATTAACACTCACTCACCCAGAATTTGATACGGTGGCTGAATAATTGCAGTGCTGAATTCACTATCAGTCGCTCTTCTCATTACGTTAAGGAAAATGTATTTCAAATTGCCACCAATATAATGATCAACTGGAGCTGTGAATACGTAAGCACCTACGACGCAGGAGACGACAATGCTTGTCTGAAAGAAGTCATTAAAATAATTTAGATACATAAAAATTAACTTGTTTTCCTTAAAAATTGTCCCCTTTCCATCATTAATTTGTACATCGCAGAGAAAATATTTAACAGCCCTGTTGGCGAAAAAAGCAATACAATTTCCGGAGAAAACCATTTGTTAAAAAAACGAAGTTTCCTTGAAGTGTAGCCCTCATATGACAGTCATTTCATCTCTTTTTAATTTCTAAAATCACTGAAAGTCACGTGCCCCTGATAAATATAAATTTTCAAATTTTCATCTTTATTGTGCATCTATTTCTCCATATATTTAGTATTCAGAATTTAAACTTTTTCAGACCAATTAAAAAAATAAACAAGTGTGGGTCCTGTTGTTGTCCCCAGGTTTGTTACATAATTTACTTCACATTCGTAAATTGAGTCCAATTGAGTAAATTGAGTCAAACAATAATTAGTTCATCTTCTAACTCGATTCTTAATTGTGTTCTATTCTCGGTACTCGATTTCATGTGTGTAACATTTCAAGTCGATAGGATGACCTTTAACAAGAGTTATCGGACAAACAGACGGACACGACGAGTACATAAGCCCTGACTCGGGGTAAAAGGAGAAAGAAAGAGAAAAAAACTCACCAATTTGTCAAATGAGACGATAGCAAGTGGAACTGCCAAAACGAGACAAAAGTATGCCAACCAGAATGTCAAGTCGTCCTTCATTACGCCAAAGTCAGCTATATTGTGGAACACAGAATAATAGGGAGCTGATTAGTCTTTGATCTTTTGTTCTGGGAATGTTTTGTTTATTTCCTTGGTTGGGTTGGGGTCCGTTTGTTGAATTGAGGATCAATCAAGGAAATCAAAATAACAAAAATGAGGGTGGGACCAAAATGAACACACAACTTTTCTGGACTTGTGCTCACGGTCCGATGCTCTCTTAAACGAACAACGCAAACTTCTCCTCTGTCCGTGTCCACCCTTTTTTATTGGCTGAGGGTAAATAATATAGCGGATATAAAGAGAAATTGAGAAAGAAAGCTGAAAAAAGTGAACAGAGTTGGCAGCGTGGCGGATAAAAGTCGTTGTGTTTGCTTATAATTGCAACTTGTGTAAGAGGGCGAGGTTTTGGTCGGCGGTGGACCTAGCACTTTTGTTTGTATTTGCCCAAAGCAAGATAAATATCGTCGTATCGCATATGGACCAAGTAGTATTTTCATTTACAACAGGTATGTATTTGTAGCTTTTTGTGAAATTTCTGTCGAGGTTTTTAGTTGCAGAAAAAAATTTCATAAAACGATACTCTTAATACGATACTCGATATCTTAATGATAACAAAAATTTTCTGGGAAACTGGAGTATAATCAATAATGATAAGATGTTAAAATGCATAAATGCCGCACATATGTTTGTTTCCGCATTCCCTTCACGGATGTTGCTTACCCAAGGGTGTAAATGAGACGATGGAAGCGAAGAGTGATCCGAGAATAAAAGAGGCTAAAAAAACGGGCCCAATGGGAGTACCACACTTGGCCCAAATGATGACCCAGGCTGCTCCACCCACTGCTCCCACAACTGTTCCAATAGTTCCAGCCCCTGATCAACATGAGAAACAAAGTTATTTTCATAATTAGCTCTGACAGACCCCTCAACAACTCAGTCATCCATTATCCCACTTCAACCATACAACTCGTAACTACTAAATACAACTTGTAACATTCGGTAACAGTGTCATTATACACAATTGGAAACGGAGTTCAATAGTTTCTCCAGGGAATCTTGCGATTCCGAGGGGGTGGAGTGGACACTGGCTAAGCCGGTGTACCAACTATTCGTAGATAACCATAACTCTGACTGACCAGGAGCTTATTCGAAAATGGAAAAAATACATAAGTCCTTACCCGAACTTTCCATGTCGACGGAGAGCATGAGGATGACGTAAGAGAGGACGGCGCTGGCGAGGAATCCAAAAAGGAACAGTTGGCACTTGTACCACCGGTGGCCAAGGGAAAGTAAAAAAAATCCAGCAAACACTAACCATGCACTCAACAGCTTAGACCCCGTTGACCCTAAATCCCAACCACAAGCAGAGATTGTTGTACTAAATAGATAACAGCAATTCGCATCTCACTCAAATCAACCATCTGCTGCTCATCATTCACAATTTACTCGGAAATAATATATTTAGTAGACCGCAACAATAGTGCATACTTCTGATCTCATTTTTTAAGTCGGTAAACTTCAATCCACAAGTGGAGTCATCAGAATCTGTCCATATTTAACATAAAATAATTTGAGCACTAACCAAGCACAGAGCAACCGGCTTCAAAATCCTCCAAGTCCGTGGAGCATCCAAAAGACAAGGTAGGGACGTATGCGGCAGATGCCGTAAGGCTGCGAAGGACCACCGCGACAATCCGCCCAGTTCCAACGTAGTTTGCAAATTTTAACTTTGAGGGCGGAAGTCCATTAAATTCCACCTACAACCAACCAACCCACACATGATTCACTATATCGGAGAAAGCAGATTTGTTGTTGTGGTGAAAGTCAAAGTAAAACGGAATAAGGTTTTCATGGAATGTGTCATGTTCGAAATTTAAGTCGAGGATGTGTAGAAGTCTAGTAGTGACAGACAGCTTTTTAAGTCGACAGTGCATTGCACATCACATTTCATGCAGTTTTACACAAAAATTTTCGCCACACCATTAGGACAGGAAGGGTTTAAAAATTGACAGGTGACAGGAAAAATAGAGTGGAATCTGAAGTAGAGTATCCTCTCTAGTTACCATCATTTTCAATTCCAAAATCTTTTTAAAGTTTGACATATTTAATTCAAGTGAGGTCGAATCCCTGGAATACGAACGAGCCCATAAAATATACCGGAGTGACCGTAGTTAAGGGATCGCTTTCTTCATGACATTATTGTCAATGGAATCAAACGCATGGATTTCTGCCTGGATATCATCCGTCCGTCCTCATTAATCTTCCGCTCGTGAGCAATACCTGACGACGCTTATTGAGTCGTAAATAACTAGCGATGCCCGAAAACATGTGCGAACGAAGAAGGGATCAATATGCTGCACAACATATTTAATGTCATGATGACGTCTCTCCCATGCGATATTCATTACTGGACTAAGCGATCATTTGTAGTTTAATTGGCACCACCCGGGGAGAAAGGAAATTCGAAATCCCCTTGGGTTTTCAGCTATGAGACAGGTTGTCCTATAACTAACCGCCCATTTGTCGCCATCAAGATCTATGACAGTTAGTGAGGAGGCGTCCTTGTCAGTCAAAATTATGTCTGTATTCCTAAATGCCAATTGTTTAAAGGTACAAAGACGCATGTACATGAAGCTACATATGCATGTATATATTGTATGTATATATGCATATTATTGCATATACATACAAATGTCTGTATATCGTTTGCACTTGTCCCTCATCACATCATCTAATTCACCAAGTAACAAAGAGCGTACATTACATATGCCTAGGAGTGTACCTACGTATGTACTCACTAAATGTATCTCACTAAATGCCCTAATATATTTACATGATCTATGTATGCTAAATGCATCCAATATTTTCACATTAATTTCAATTACATGTACCTAGAAATGGTGGTAGTTTGAAAAAATTCCTCCCAAAAGAAAAAAATAGCAGGAATTGATTATTACCTTCGTCCCATATTTCTCCACCGAAGTGACATTGGACATCAAACGAATGCTGTCAAATGCTGTTCGAACAGAAAAATCCCTTTCAGGAAGATAGTAAATGTAGATGTCATACTGCAACGGAGCTCTATCACAAGTCGCCGGCTTGACATTTAGAGGCCAAGATCCTAACGGGTACTCAACTACGACCAGGTTAGGAGTGAATGAGGTGGGGAGGTAGGGCGCCGTCTTCACTGGCTCCTCCATGTTACACCCACCAGGAATGGGAGCTGGAAAAGTAGCAATTTCATTCCGTCAGTACATAGTGTATCTAAAATCAGTGTCCAATTTTAGTTCAAAATTTCATACCGCTGTCATCATACGTTTGTAACAGCAACAAAACATTCAACTCCAAGTCGTTGTCATTAATAACGAAGACATCCGACTTTTCAGTCCCGTTGAGCACAAGTCCTACGCTGGACCCTTTGACGGATTGACCCACGGTGGGCGTGGAGGTGAAAGAAATTGTGACATTGACACCAACCACGTGCGCTTGCACCAAGGAGTATCCAGTACTCGAGGATCCTGAGACCGTTATAGAGACGAATTGTCTGCCAGGAATCGAGACTTCTTGAAATTGGTCAGGATTTAGGATGATGCCTTTTAGGATAATTTTATGTCATTTTAGTTATCAAGAATGTAATAAATATTTCTGTAAAAAAATCATAGCGTGCTTTTTACACAGAATCTTTGTTATATATGGCACTTACTTTGAGTTTGACCCAGAGCCTCCCATATTAAAATCAAGAGAACACCAAAGCTCCGCAGAATGTTATGAAAATGACTCTTCATTTCTAAAGTTTTTGTATGAAAACAGTTGCACTTCACTTATGCTCACATTTTAACTTTTTTTCCTGAATTTTTAAACCAATAAAACAATTTTATAATAGCAAAAACTTAAAGAACAATTGTACAAATTATTGTAATACTGCAAGAACACTGATCTGATCGAAGTCATATGTTTTTCGTGATGATGATAGTGCTGGTATATACGAGTGAACAAACAGTAAGTTGTGTTATGTAGTGGAACTGGTTTAGTGTTAGCACTGCATAATGTCATGCCATGCAAATGAAACTGTTCAACCCTTTCTCAATATACTGGACGCTGTTATGTGCTATCTGGCATTGTAATTTTAACGGTTAAGTGTAAATATTCATAGTGTGTTTGCTGTGACTGACAATAATGGAATATTTATGGAATATCCTTTATTTTAGATGTTATTAATACGATCAATATAAAATTTAAATTGACCAAACGCATGGACATAAATACATATGTACATATAGATAACATTGATTTTGTTGAAAATATATTTGTTCTAGGATCATCACATGTATTGCATTTTAAGGAAGGCAAATGAGTAAATTCATGAGGTGTATATTTTTGTAAAAATATAAATAATTTTTATATGAAAATATAACCTGCGGCATTTATGCCACAGTTGAGCTGTGCATGTCCTTAAAATCCTGGGGTTAAAATAACCTGTAAAGTTTCATAGCTAATAAAAATTAGTACTTAGTTTTCAGATATTCAATAATACAAGTCCAGTCAAATAACATAGTGATGCCACAAAACACGGAATCTCTAAGTATCAGGTTTTATAGCCATTTCGTGATGTTATTCCTTTATTCTTTATAGCGGCTGAAATAAATTAAACCTGATACAACATGAGTCATCAGTGCCATGTCAAGTCAATTGATGTTTTGATCCTTTGTTGAAAATGATGAATAATATTCTGTGCACTGCTTACTAAAAAGTAGCTCACTTTTCATTTCTGACTAATACATGCATACCTACAAATTATGCACATATGTAAAGACCCGAATGCATTGGCAACTTTTATTTCGATCGGTCAAGAAAATGCTACGTCGCGAATCTATGCAAAAGATTAGCTAGCTCCATTTCTAGGTTATACTTCCCTAATGTAATTTAATATAACAAAACCAATCATGAAATTCATACACGCACTTCCCTGGAGTTTCTTCCTTGTACAATGCCAGGAAAAAAATGGTTTTTGTATTGTATTAGCTTAATGCTAGCAAGTAATTCACTCAGCAAAAACTTTCTGCTCAATTGCATGTCTATGTACCTACTTGTTATTGACTCGTTTTTCGAGCAGTCATGCAGTATTCCAACCTAACTAATTATAAGTGTTTTTGGAGTTAATGCAGTGTGCTGATGCTCTTAATATCCAACTGTTTGTGTATGTGTCACACTCAACTGGGTTGACTTTAACATGCAAACATACACATACACATGGCAGATACGGTCAGCATGATAATGTCCACTGTCCACTCAGCACCAACCACCATTCTCCTGACTGCTTAGTATTAATTTGGGACCGTTTCACTAAAGTTGATTAAATAAAATTGGCGAGAAGTTGAGGCGTATATAAATACAGAGCAGTGGCGAAGCTGTTGCTGCTGCTGAAAACGAGATTTGGGTGACTAAGGTCAATGGTCAATCTACTCTATTTAGTTTGGACGTTTTTTGTATTCATCCTTCAATTCGCATTTAATTTTTCGTCAGTTTAGGCTTTGGATTGGTTGGTGATGTGTCCACTTAATAAAAATTTGCTACTGTTAAACGTAGTTTTTTTTTGCCAATCTGATATATATTCAAATGCGGAGTAATCATAGAACCATTTTTCTCCAACAACCATCTCAGTCGTAGCAATTGTGCTTTAAATTCCCAGATCAACATTATTATTATTAATTTAAGTTGAATTTGAGTCAGCTAAATTATTAAACCTATTATCAAGTGTATTGTTGTGACTTATTTAATTGTGCATTTAAACCATATATTACTACGAGGGTTAGGTACTCCTGCAGCAGTAGTGAAAGTGTTGCGTGGACTCGAGCAGGAGCAAAATAATTCATTACATACACAATGCAATATTATTAATAAACTTGAGAAAATACGAGGCATTGTCGAGATTGACATAAATAAAATCCTCTGCTTTCGTGTCTGGGAGCCACGTTTTATACAAATGATTCATCGCCTTCCCAGCAACTTCTCATCAACGCATAACGAGTGTGATATAACCGCATAGATTCTGCATATTGAGATATAACAGAACATCACGAATAACTACGTAAAGTTGGTAGAATCCTCTCACAAAAGTATTTATTTTTTCAAGTGCATTATAATAAATACGTTGAGACAGTACATACAAATGCATACAACAAGTGTCTCACCTGTTCAGTGTGTCATCTGCTTCAGTAATTACTAAAAAAAATAGATAAAACGAAGCCAAAAGTGGTAAGAAAAGCAACGAGCGTGGTGCATCTTGATAATACACTGAAGATGCCCGTTTAAGGTGCACACCTTACTTTTTTCATGCCGTTGTTGTATTTATAAAACCCTCGTTCTGCAACTACATGTTGCAATCTTAAGAGAAGAAGCGAATCCCGTTTCGTTATCCTAGTGCTCACCTTTACCTTCTTGCCCATGCAAACACTGGCAGTAAATAAACACTACTTGAGCACGCGATGATGGTATTCAGCCGTGTAGGAGAAGGAGTAAAGGATTGTGCCCAAGTTTGCTATTTATCGTTTGCCGTTCATGAAATCACATCAAGCGAGGAGTGCGGACTTTGAGAAGTTAGTTAGATAAATTGCAGAAGAAGACTTTAACGGCACGACACGCGATTCTGTCTCATTTTGCCAGCGTTCCTGAAAACCTGCGAGTTTTATTAAGCAAGTGATTTAATATTTCTTTGTTCTTGGTGGACGAGATTGAGGATTTTTATTGAATCCATGCAGCCGAGCGTGGTTGTACGTAGATCAGATACACGGACACATACGGATCGGAGGCATAGAGTTTGGCAGCAATAATAGAGACCATTATTGAGCTTTGTGTGTAGGAAAAGGGGGTCGAGATATATTCGAGTATAATATATATCACATCTCTTAAAGAGCAGGCATGTGCAGTGTGTTGTCCAAGTATGGAAGGGTGTGTGTGGATCGATGATTCCTCTATTCCACGACTACGACTCCCTGTCCACCAAAATATTACGTTTTCACACAAATTAACCCTTTTTCTTGAGTTTTAAACGTGACTTTAATTAAAGTGTGTCGTGGGTGGTGCAAGTGGAGACAAAAGGTGTCCAATTTGCCTCATGGGGCAGCATGGGAAAGGATCAAGAGCTAATTGAAGCAGCAAGAAATGGTGATTTCAACATTGTGCAGAAAATACTCAACTCCAGGGCGAAAAAAGGAACATTTTCCAGGTTGGTACAAACCTACAATCCCGCGTTCAAAACCCCTATTCCTCCCAATGCTAAACGCAAAAAGAGGCTCCGAGCTGGTTTTCTTGTCCCACTTTTTACACAATTTCTTAATGTTGTTAACTCCTCATTGTCTCTCTTCAATTAAAATGAGCAGGACTCATTTCCAGGAAGAATCATGCAATTCACGACGCTGTGCACATTTCATTTCACCAGCACTTGCACTTCTCTGTGCAATAGTGGAGGCGGAATAAATTATGAGAAATATCAGTCACTCTGAATAATTTGTTTATCAGCCAACGCCATAAATGTAATCACCACCGGCAGTGATAATAATGTCTTAATGTCTGTTGTTTACCACACATCGGGAAGAACTGCACATTTTTATGTCCCATTTTTTCAGCGTATCCTTCTCCCCGCATGTTTATCAACATTTCGTTATCAGTAATTATCAGTATTATTAGTGTAATCATAAAATTTGATGATAGGTACGATTTGTTCATGCAGTCCAGCCAGAGTTCATGCAAAACTGTAATGTGATATACGAGCTAGTTTGCATTGATAAACAATCAACATCGCGGAATTCAATTATATTGGCACTGCATGAGATGGGTTTAAACGTTCAGCATTAGCAATTATTAGTAATTTTATTGCTTATATAACAGCCGTGGTTGTTTGCCAATTTAATTATTTTTGTAATGAACTAAGGGATAAATATTTTTATTACTGGTTAATTGGAAAGAACTAGGTGATTAAGATCGAGAAAATTGAGCTAGAGGTATGGCAAAACCACAACAATTGTGCAATTTTTTCAAAAGATAGAGATAGATGGTTGATTGATGGAGTAGTACAGTACATACCTAACAGTAAATCACGATGCAAATAAAAATAATAATGCTGCCTGTTGGGTATTTACAATTTGCAGTAGATAAGGTAACCACAAAAAATAACCGCATTTGTATTAGTAACTTTGTAGAAGATTATTATTACTGTTACTACTTTTTAGTTGTAAGAAAATTGTCAAATATTGTGCAACAGAAATCAACCTGCTTTCAAGTACTCGTATATTTTTAGGTACATAGGTGAAGGCGAAATGCATTGTATGTACTGTACATACGTATTCCAGCCTTGAGAAATTACTCAATTTGCAGATACTAAATACACAATTCCATTATATTTGTTAATATTGCTAAATAGTGGCTATTTGTTGGCGAAGACTACGAATAATAGCAAATTGATTAATTCATATTTGAATAAAGTCACAAAATTAGATAGGCGACTGATTTTTTTGATAAACATGCCAAGTTTTAATTGATCATTTTGTCTGTCCAAATTTTGTTGAAGAGTGAATAAACCAAGGCTTTCTTTAATTATAATTTTTTATTAAAGCCTCAGCTTAATGGGTTTTGCATTTTTTAGTGCCAATTATTTGCATGTTATCCACGAGTGCATTTACCTTAAAAAAACTGTGTAAAGCTGCAAACCTGCAAAAAAGAAAAACCACGGTATGGTCGTGAGATAATAATAAATAAATACGTCAAAAAATGGCACTGTCGATAAACAAAATAATACAACTTATTGCCACAATACTCTTCTGTATTAACGCTCATGGTGGCAAATTTTGTTAGAAAGGCCATTAATTTCATTGTCATTGTGTGCCATTGTGTTTGCTATTTATTTCTGCACCGATGGGCAGATTACATATAGTGCAATTTAATATTGAATAATTGACTGCAACAGTTACAGAATAATAGCAATATAATAACTGTCATTCATTAATTTTTGCACACCTTAAAATCTATTAGTCGATTTTCCCATGTACTTATATCGGTTACATCTCAACCACTCATTAATTCTTTGTGGAGTAATCAATTACATCGTTGGTGGCAAATCGTGACAGAGTAATTGAATCTAAAGTATTTTCTTCAGCCAAATTCTATACAAGTAAATCGGGTAGCAAGCAAGATTAGAAGGCAAATTTATGTAGTATTTAACTACCATTGTTGGTCTACAGTGAATTCTAGTGCAATATTTATCTTATTTTATCCGATTTAATAAATATTTTCGACAAGTTCAGATTTTTACCACATTTTAAATGGTTCGTACTTCGTTACTTCATAATGAAGATTGGTTGGTGATGAGTCCGGCATAATCGATCCCGCTTGTGTCCGTCATCTCTCCTCTAAATAATCCGGAAGAAAAGAGCTTGCATGTGCCTGACTCGCCCGAAGCCCATGTTTTACTCTGCTTCTGTGCAATCCCAAGACAGAGAAGGACAACTCAGATATAAAATTGTGATTGGGTTGTGTTGTTGAGTGAATTCAGTGGACTTTGAATTTATGCAAAAATCAATGAATCATCAGCTCCTATCTCGGATTGAGGAGTGGTAGTCAGTGGTAAAGCTTATCGATTTTCGTACACAAGCACAACACACTCCCACACATTGTGGTCTTTTACTTACCATTTAAGAAGATGGTCGCCGGCAAAATGAATTCATAAGCTTCTTTATTCCTATAATTTTGAAATGTTGGAAAAGATTTGTATCTCGGTGAATTTGCAGCTAATCCGCCCATAAATCTGCAAGTTCATCCCAATTTGTTTTTGTGTAATCACATTATTCATCAGAATGTCGTGGGAGCTTAACGCGTGATTTTATTAAGTTAATCATGATTTCTTTACTGTTTTTTTTCTTTTGGAGCAAATCTGCAGATTATAACGAGATACTTATGTCGTACAATGTTGTTGTGTAGTATATTAATGCTGCCTTGTTTGAATTTGTGCTTAATATAATAATCTCATGGTTGGTTGTGCTCATCATCATCATATATGTAGCACGAGTATGTGCATCTATATGTGTGTGTGGGTTTAAAGCTTATCTTTAAAAAACATCTGTCAAATAAAAATGTTTAATTTGCACAAGTTCCACCTACAACTGCCAATAGGTATAAAAATAATGATAACGGACGAAAGGGAGGTGGGAATAATAGACGCTGCATGTCTAGTGTGCGTTTCCTGTGCAAAAATCAAAACATTATTGCCTCGACTTTTGCAGGATTTGTGATGATTAGTTCTTTTCAGTCAGATTTTGACGATAACAAAGCAAAATGCTTGCCTCACCATGAGTTGGTCTGACTTGAAAGGAGAGATGGGAAATTGGATTAGATTTTTTTGTTATAAAGTCAAGTATACATAAGTCAAATGGAAATGAATTGAATTGTGTGCACCATTCATTCTCGTGTAAACTGACTGACTGACTGAACCAAATAACAACCATCGAAATGCTGGTGGTAGTGGGTGGGTTCAGTTTAAGAGGATTTTTCAAATTAATTTTTTAATTGCAGCTTCAGTCATAAATTTTCTGCGGAATGGGCGTTTTTTTTTAATTTGTAAATACACAAAGTTAGAAAGTGTTGGCTGTCGGATGCTGTGTTGTTGTACTTAATTACTTGAGATGTCATACATATCATGCTGAATGAGACGTGTTAAAAAAATCCTGAACAGTATTTTCTGTTGAAAATTAAAACATTTTCATTTTCAACTGTAACAAAGTCAGATAAGTAGTTTCTATTTGTAGGCTGCTCTTACTTAAGTATAAATATTTGAGTAAGCACGTTATTTGTCGAAATCATTGCAATATATCATTCCTTCTGTGGTGATATCGATCTCTTATCAAATATATCTGCTCTTGTGTAGACGGATGGATGAAGTTGCAACAAAATCTGCCAAAAACCGGGAGGGGTCGTTTCGTTGTATGCAATAGAATGGAAGTGCATAGACTTGAAAGATGTTGATGCAGCAGGGCTACCCATACACTAACCTAACCTACAATGCTGTCATTACCCTGATTCCTTTTTCTACACCGTTTGATTTTATGTTATCTTTGATGTTCAAGCTCTGAAGTTTAATCAGCCTTAAAAAGACGACGAGCAAAAAAAACTGGGTAACTCTAAAGTGGTGGAAGTTTTGGTGATGTGAATTGATTTCTCATTCATGCATCACACAAATTAGACTTGTTGACACTAATTTGTTTGCAATTACTGAACTGTGAGATTTTTGGGCAAGAACAAAGTGCTCCTTTCTATTCTCGGTTTCTTTACGTTACAAGAATAACTTTTACTTGGCTTAAATTAGCAAATTGCTGTTCATTTTAAGGCGGATGTTGTAAATATAAAATGAAAATTTACTGTAAAGTGAGTGAGCCATGAGTACAATTGGCTTCACGTGCATGGAATTTTGCAAATTATTCACATTTCATGCCGATTGTGATGATGGATTGAAAACTATCAAATATAACGTGCGTAATATGTGTCGTTATCGCCCAAAGATTTTCATTTCTGATATTTTTTTATCGAAACTAATGTGCATAAATGATCAACAATGTGTCTTTTGTTTCTATTCACAGTTTAAGACGAGGCCCTGGAGCAAATGCTCAAGATGCGAATGGCTTTACTGCCCTTCACCACGCAGCTGTTAACCGTCACAAGTAAGACCATTTTCAAATTTGTAATTTTAGTTAATATATAATATCTACTTGGCAAAAATAGGGTCATAATTGTGTACATATAACACCATAATTCTCATCGTGATGGTCTAAATGCCAAAATAAAGTGCTGTGTGAAAGCAAATACGCACGCAGTGAATAGACCCGAATTTGCATCCAGTTCAAACTTATCGCATAGGCGACGACAACGCCTAGCTTTTCATGCTGTGGATTCTTTCAACATGATTTTATTTACGACAAAAGGAGGAAAGAAGAAGAAACACAGTTTGGTCATTTCATTTGAGTTTTATTCCAAAATGAGTCCAACTTTAGCACCATTTGCTTCCACATTTCACATAATTTATTGCAAAAGAGCGCTTTCAGTGGTCTCACGTTTATGTTCCGGTTGACAATTTTCTAGCTCATTTTAATATTCATGACCCACCATTAGTTAACGCGACGAGGAGGAGGAATGTAATGCCATCACGATGAGACTACTGCCTCAGCCGGTGGCCCGACCAATGTGCAAAGACAAATGTGCAAACGACAAATGTGCAAAGACGTTTGTGCAAATGATAAATGTGCAACCTGACAAATGTGCAGCCCGATAAATGTGCAAACGATAAATGTGCAACCGATAAATATGCAGGAATTTTGGAATTATGTACATGTAAAAATTCTAAATTTCAATGAAATAATTCGGGATTTATTTATTTGCTGTCATTTTAAATTCTGTCCCCGAGGGGTGTCCCTAACTAAAGTTTAATTGTCACTGTCACTAGCTAAATTTAGCATTACATAAATGTAAGGTTAGCATTACAGTGATTCGGCACGGGAATTTTATTATAAAATTGACAGGGGTCAACCCCGTTATAATGATGATTAGTAATATTTAATAAGTATAAAATCTGCATTATAAGATCTCCAGCTTCATAAGCTTCACCACAAAATTAATGTTTCAGAATTCTTAGTTTTTTGATAAGATGTAATTTGATTTGAAGTGTAAATTATATCAAGATATATTGCACTATTTGTTGGAAAAATTCCTGCACATTTATCGGTTGCACATTTATCGTTTACACATTTATCTTTTGCACATTTATCGTTTGCACAAATGTCTTTGCACATTTGTCGTTTGCAGATTTGTCTTTGCACATTTGTCACCCCATCGCCTCAGCCGGCACCGAGCACACATTCATTTATGGTGTGACTTGGAAGCAACCGGCGTGGCGAATCTTATTTGCATCAAATGATGCCATTTCTTATGCACTGGTTCCATACATGTGTCTCTATATTCGTATCCACCAGCAGAGCTTAAGTGTTATGTGAGCTGGTAGCTCAGTCATAACGAGAATAATAGTTCTGAATTTGAAAGCAGACACACGACCTTTAGTTTCTTACTTTTTGTTCCCTTGTATGTACATAGTTTTGATTGAGAGTGTGTGAATTTGGGCAAGTTTTTAAAGTTTATTCATTCCTCAACAGATGCATTATTTGAATTAATCTTTGTCAGCTACATTAATTTAGTCGCGCCTATTTTTAGCCTAACAATGGAGACATTTCATTAGAGGAACAAATTACTTACTGCATCATGGAATCAGATATCCGTTCATGTGGAAATACTTATCTAGCAAATGCAAACTATTTATTTTTGTCGTTGTCATTTCTAATAAAATCACGTCCATCAAAACAGCACTTGACTTTTGTATGGTCATTACGTTGCATTATAGTAATTCTCAAATTCACCATAATAAAAAGACGACTCATAGAACCACCCAAATGACGACCTTATTTTGTGACATGGAGCTGTTTGGCCAACCCCTAATAAACAGAATTTTATGTTTTATTTCTAATGGAATCTGTATACATGTATGACGACCTGTCCGATGCAAGGATCAATAAAATGGAAATCACTACAAGTTGTTTCTGTTAGTGACACTATTTCTTGTTGCAGGGCGATTGTGGAGTTGCTGTTGAGTCATGAGGCGTCAACGAACATTGTTGACCTGCAAGGGTCATCTCCGCTGCATTTGGGTAAGTTTATTTTTTTACATGTAATTCTAATTAGGGATGCCACGGGTACGTGAGGGCATCCCAAGTTCTAATCATAATTTATTTTGAAACCACAGCGGCCTGGAGCGGAAATGAGGACATTGTCAAACTTCTCCTCACGCAAGGACCATCTGTGCCTGGACCCAATGTCAACCTCATGGTAATTTGCTCATTCAAACATTACATCATCATGTTTATTATGTCGCTGTTGTGTGAATGTTGCCACATGAATCGCACAAACTCAACCCTCTCGTCTTCTTCTGCCTTCTCATCATTTTATGTTCAATTCGATTTGCTCCATCCAGTCAAATTTGGGTAGGATCACAAACAGAGGATGTATTCACAATTATTATTACATGCATATCCATATGTACGTATGTATGACGGGGACGACAAGTCTGATAGTTCTGGGCCAACATAATGGGATGAAATTAGGGAGAAAAGACTCCGATGTTGAATGCTGCTGGAAATATCGTTACTCAGCACGATCATGATGAGGATGAGGATTGATTGTTGATTTCATTAGGGTAAAGTGTGCGAATGAAATTGAAATGTGGCTCATATTTAGAGCATCCCAATCACACCCAAGTGAACATTTCAGCCTCAAACCCTCTCCTTGCTGCTGCTGATTCATGTTACACTAAATGTCGGGTAACATTGTTGTAACAAATGGTGGACGGACGCAATTGTGCATATCACAGCATCATCAGCAGTATAACCATAAGATGATTGCACCTATTATTACGTATGTCCGTCCGTATTTTTATGTACTTGTTATACAACCGGAGGGTGGTCTTGCGTCTGATGATAATGAAGATGTCGACTTGTTTGAAAGTGTTGACCAGACCGTGCCTTATTCCGACTAGCGCGTGGACTTGACAATTGAATCATGCATACGAATTGTTGTTTGATAGTTATGTAGAAACCTCTAAAAATTAATTAAATCCATCCTTCGAGTACATTGTCCATCCCCCAAGAGTGGTAATTCATCGGTTAGATTACAATGTGGTAATTGGGTATCCCGTGGGGATTGGTTTTCAATGTCATTGTACATTATGTGCAGCAGTCATCCAGTTGCGGGATGCTGTTGAGAGTGGGAACAACATTTAATCTAATTTAAATTCTTACTAGACTAACAATGCTTTCTACATGTAATAACCAGCATATTTATTACCACGCCTTGTTACAAACTATGATTTCGCCAAAAACTTAGTTGTCCAAGGACTGGAAGCCAGAATTATTGTTATTTGTTCTAATCATAATTAAGGATATTATGCAATACTTGCTAGATCACTTTCACGGTCTCAATCTAACTAACTAACTCCGTATATGTACCAGGCATGAGACCGGGTCATATTCCGACCAAAGTAAAGCAACGCCACGCAATCAGGGAGCAGAATTTATTGCTGCATTTATGTTATTGGCAGAAGCTATTAAGTAAAATCCCATCCGATTTATCTTCCTTTTTCTTTCCTTTGCTTTGTATGTGTATGCCCTTGCATGCTGCGTAAGGACGTTATATGTAACACTCACGCAAGCCCATCCACCCGATCTTGGGTCACATTGCAAATGCATTTCGTGTTATTACGTCAAACTGGCGGTGGAATGAACTGCAGTTGAACTTTTCATGAAATGGGAATGAAGAAGGGAGATTTATTGAATTAGCATTGATTGTTGGGTGTATAATAAGTACGTCGTGCTGCGTTTGACCAGATTCTCAATGTGTGTGGTGTGATGAGATGATGTGTGACATTGACTCCAGGTCCGTATTAATCTATTTCGGGTGGGTGGCCTGTGAGATTCAACTGCACGATCTTGGTCCCAATTTTCACTACAAATTACACAACATCTTGCGCAAATTAAAGGCGAGCGACCTTTCTTTTTTTGGGGTGGATGCAAAGCGTAGGCTTCATTAGGTGTTTCGACCAGATAAGGAGGCTCCCTCCATCCGGATCATTTTCATTCAGTTAATCTCCAATCCCATTCATTCATAATTTCGAGCATGATGACATGGCGTACGACAAAAAGAAGGTCACAGGGCTGCTCCTTATCACACTACTAGTTAACATGGCATACTGCACAAGAATGGTAATGGAATGGAACCGCTTGACATTTTAGGACGGAGATGACGAGCAGTTTGGAGAGCTGCTGCTTCTTGTGTGCTGCTAGCAACTGTTTCTGTTGATATTGATTAATTCCTCCGTTTTCCACTTGGCTCCACAGATTTACTTTCACTCTGTGGCAGAAGAGGAGGGTAGAACTGGTAGGAGAGAGCAGAATGCGTGCGCCCTAATGGGTTTTAAGTAGTTGTAAAACTAAACTGCTTCTTCTAGACGAACCATTTTCAAAGATTCGGTTTTCAAAGATTCGGTTTTCGTCGAAGAGTTTTCTACGAGCCAGGGTCGTTCAAATTTGAATGACACTATACGAACATATATTGTAATTATGTTATGAATCATCAATTACTAATTAATTACAATACTTTAAAACTGCCTGCAATTCTCTGACCTATTTAGTAGTAATTATGTATTACAGAAACTTAAGCATACATACAACAGCATACAGAAATTCCATAAGGAAAATAAAGCATTATTGCCATAAGCGCAATATAAAATCAATGAGGAGCGACAAATATCAATAAAGTTGAAGTTTGTGGAAATGACAATATTTGCCAATAAGATAAGAAGGGGAAAGCTCTTCTCCAAAATTTACTTTTGCACTTGAATGTCACTTCTCTGAGCCCACTTTAGTAAGTAGCGCTCACACGTCGTCCGCGACCTTATTGTCACCAAAACTGTCAAGTGTTTTCGACTGAAGTGGGACGATGAGGACGACGGGTGAGTTTTTTGACACATAAATTGCCCTCATAAAACAATGTTTGGTCAACTCCTAAATATTTTGTACTTTGCTTTCTCCCATTTATCCGCAATAAAGGAATGATCTTTTCTCAATTTATATAAATATTTGGGCGCACACGAGTCTTAATTGTTTTGCTCCATAATGAGTCGTCCTATTTATATAGGTCCAATTCAAGATAGAATTATCAGTATGTTTTAGTTGCTGGTGACGAATTGCATGTTTGTTTTGTTGGGAAGAAGGGGACAACAAGAAGTGGTTATTATACTTTTGTGTCATGCTGTCATTTGGGAGGCTTCTGTTGTTCAAGTTGTTGCAACATAATAATACATACATTAGTTTTGAGCCACCACCAACCACCCTTTGGTCACAAAGTCACGGAGAGAGCCCGAGAGAGGAGATGATGACATTATATGATTACTTTATCAGACTTGTTCCTGAATAAATGATGCTCCCATCGTGCTCCTGCTGGTGACAAATAGTGCAGACGCCCACCACCACCACCCGCTCAGCAACTTTCTCTTCCCCCGTTGCATTGAAACCAATGGGCTTATTTCTTTCTTCCCGATATTTAAACGGATTAAAATCAACGTAATAAAATCCGGGAGTGTGCTGTTGAAATCTGTTCAAAATGTAAATATGATATATCTCATTTTGGATCATCGCTTAATTTCATTCAGCATGCAGTAACTCTTCATTGGCTCATCGTGACCCTTTATGTTTTATATTACCAACTATTTCTGGGTGGCTCGGAATCATACTTGTGACATGAAATGCATACATTTCTAAGCTTTATTTAACCGATGCGATAGTCACTCGATGGGAAAAACTTATTTTAGAATTTATTTTTGTCTGTGAAATAAAATGTCAAAAGAGTTGGTCCGACTTTTTAAATGCCAGAAAGTCCCCTCATTTCACACAGTGTTTGATAAAGTCATAAAACTGTCATGAGTCGTTCGTCCCATCACCAGTTCAGAATAGAATACGTAGTTTTGTATCTATTTGTTGGTTGGGGGTGTACGCTGGCAAAAGAGCTACTCAAACAAGAGAGAAAGACAATGTGGAAATTAAGATGCGAGAACTTTACTCGTGGACAAATTAATATGAGGTTGTTTGAGGGTGGTCTCCACAGTCATTTGTGTTGTTGGTTATAAACATTTGCCAACAAATTTATGACGAGGGGATCCCATCCCTTTGCTAGTTTTGGGGTATTTTGTTGTTGATGTTTCTCTGACAGGTCCAGTTTTTACTCTCGTCTCTTAGATGTGTAGATGACAAAAGTTATGTCACCACCAGGGATAAACTTGAATGAAGGTTGTCGTTCCCTGTCAGTAATACAATTATTGAGAAAAGGACGAAACCACAGCGGTTTTCATTGCACATAAATGTATTACTCGCATATGTATATTGTTGATCTCAGAATTATATATCTGGAAATGTTTAAATGTTGGTTGGGCTGGGTATGTGCGATTCATAATGGCATGCTACAAAATGTACCAGTCGTGTAATTGGGTATAATTTATACTACAAATATATAATTGTATCATTAACAGAACAAGTCCTCGGAGACTGCACTCCACATGGCCGCACAATTTGGACATACCGAGGTAATAATGCATACATTACTTATTAATTCTTCAAAATAAGACAATAAATTACTCATTAAACTAAAAATATGAACTCTTTATGCTCCTTTTTCCAATCCATAATCAAATCATTGAACCTGTGTTTTTTTCCGAAGGTGGTCAAACTGCTCTTGCAACACGGGTCAGATCCTGTCATAACGAATGAGCGACAAACGCGACGTGAGACAGCTTTGGACCTGGCTGCACAATACGGGAGGTATTCTGTCTCACCTGTCCATTTGAACTCATCGTCGCTCGTATTATTTTGTGTCCTCATCATCATCTCTTAACCATCTTGTCACATTATACTTCCATTTCTGTCTCTTACTCTTGTGTGTCACATGAATTCCAACCTTTCCTCAATTTACATTCTTCGTCTTCCCAGACGCAAGAAAATTGAAATGTACTACATTCTGAGAGGGTTTTCTAAAAATAACATTTCGGAGGATAGTTTACCCTTCATGCCTAGCGATGAAAATGCGTCATCTCGTTTATTAATAATTATTAACCACGACGACGATGACGATGATGAAGTTTCTTAAGAGAATTAGTAAACTTCACTTTCCCCATGTTTTTAGATTTGAGACTGTTCAACTGCTTCTTAAATCACACCCCGAGCTACTAGCCTGCTACACCAATGTGAGTACTACAAAACAACAAATGTTTACTCACACGCCGCTACACTTGGCCTCCAGAAATGGTCACAGGTGCGTAAATATCTAAGAAGCGTTGTTTAATTTCAAAATATCTTACACGAAATTTTGAAACTCTGCATTCATAAAATTGTGAAAATAAACAGGGCGGTGGTGGAAGCTTTAGTGAGAGCTGGATTTGATGCTAATGCTCGCACTTCGCAAGGAACGGCACTCCACGAGGCAGCCCTGTGCGGAAAGGTGGACGTTGTTAAAACCTTGTTGGACGCTGGGATCGACGTCTGTGTGGCTGACAGTCAAAGGCGGACGGCGGTGGACAGGTTGAACGAAGTCGGCCTCAAAACACCAGTCGCTAAAGAAATAGCTGAGCTCATTCGAAGTCAGTGCAAACAAACATAACAATCCATTAGCTCAGGTTTCCTGAATAAAGATCATTTTGTGAATGGATGGAAATGAATGATTTTCAGATGCCCTCAAGAAGAAGTACAGCTCACAACCGAAAAACAGCTCTCCACTCTGCTCGCCATGGGAAAGTGGGCCCCCCGTTAACAACAAGGATGGCAAACTTCCTTTGAGTCAAATGTGAGTCTACTTTTCCCTTTCACGAGTAATATGTAACACTGATGATGATTTTTGCATATCTCAAAACAGCTTTCTTATCATCGATGCATACATTTTTTGCTGGTCTCTGATGAGCATTACACATTTTGCTGTAAAGATGCGATGATTGGTCTTGACACTGATGCTCGAATCGTGCATTATGTGCAGCACTGTATTTTGTCATCCTGCTCGAAATGTGGATAAAAGGCGAGGGGGATAATTGATGATAAAATAAACGCCTTTAGTTCTCGTGATGTAAGTGGGATGCAAATGCAGTCATTATTATTACGCTATTACATAAGCAGGAAAACGAGCTAGGAGGAAAAGTGTACGTACATAGGTTCACTTAGTTCATGGTCGCTAATGTTTGTTCAAAGCCTTCAATCAATCGTGTGGATGATGATGAGTAAAACATACATAGTGTGAGATATGTACACTCTCGTACGTAAAGTAGCCGTCGTTTCAGCAGTAAGTACGCACCCAGCCCAACTTTGTAAATGTTCACAAATGACATGGATGAGTGAACTTTTAGAATTAGTTTAGTTCTGCTGTGCTCATGATGTTGTTGTAATATTGAATGCAGTACATTGCGTGGTTGTCGGGTGTGTATGTGTGCACAGGGATGGATGGATGGATGGAAAAAGGGATCAAAAAGCATGCAAAAGAGCGACCCTTATTAATTCTTGATTCATCAAATGAGGCGCAACTACATATCACGATTGGGTATCCAGTACCACTCCCATATCTTGCCGTTAATGTTCTCAATAGGAATTTATAAAAAGTCCATGTTCTGAAATTAATTGTGGAAATGAATTATGACAAATTTTATTTTATTTTGTAAATTATGTGAGCTACATTCACATTATGCAATGAAGGAAAGGACGAGATGAAGGAGAAAGTAGTGTATAGTTAGCGGTTGGATATAGTAGTAGTAAATATTGGTTCTCTTCGTCACGCTTAATTTACATATGTGATCCAGCGATGATGGAAATGACGTTTACTTTTATGTATCTGGAGAAAAGGGGAAGACATAATGCTTTGAAATATTGAAGTGGTTAGATGAAAGTTAAATGCACGTTGTCGTCGTCGTCGGCTTGTGATCTTTCTTCTCTCGAGCAGATGACTAATGAAGGCTCTTGTCGTTTCAATTAGATACGATAATCACTCATACAGCGAGGCCGAGACGAAGCTGCCAAGATACTCTCCGCACCACTCGCCCAAACCCAACACTTTCGTCAGAGGCAAGACTCGCAGATCGATGGATGTGAATATGGGAAAGGGACCTGATTTTGAAAAGGTAATTATCTAGATCCTTAATTAGCTTTTCCGCACAAAAGCGCTTCACGCCCTTGGCTGATGGGTGCTTACTCGTTCTCTGCCCCGGCTCCTGCTGCTGGTTGGTTTTAACTTTCCAAGTTTCCACAATGAAATCTCCAAGAATTCTGCCACCACCATAAACCACCAACTAACTTGCATCATAGCATAACAGCAGCATTCCCTCAGTCACAGTACTGAATAATTCACCCACCACCAGGCCTTTGTTGTAGAGGAGGCACAAGTCGTCGGTTGAACAACCCACACCATTAACCACCACCGTCTTCTTCGACGAGAAATTTCTCTTCCTACAAAATCCTGTAGCTGTAGCATGTAGAATTATTGCTAACATGCAAATCACGGGGATCCCGTCTAATAATAATGCTTCATGAATATTTGCAAATTTCAGCCCATAAGCACGCCACCAAAGAAACCTCCACGACGAAATCTTTCAGCTTCTCCAACACACCCAGATTTTGGAGGGGATCATGCCGAGTTAATGATCATAGGAAGAAACAAGTCACTGGACGAAGGAGTGTACAGTGACCGATGGAGGAAGAGTTTAACCACGTACGATACTAGTCAGTCCACCGAGTCGATCGACCTTTCCCCGGTGGAAACTCACAAACATAACAACTCCGGTGCCAAAAGTGACAACTCAAACTCGTCTTCCGCTGTGTTCAATGGGGGGATGACTACTTCGGACGAGCTGAGCCTGAGAAAGACCAAGTCGAAATCGCAACATTTAGGATTAGACAGTAGCCAGTTCGTGTCCGTGGCTCATATTCGACTTCGAGATGCCAAGAGTGAGCAGAATGTTAGTCCGTTGGGATTGACCACGAAAGAAAGTTTCGATGACTTGGACCACATCGATGACGACTTTCACCATTCGCACCACATGGCAAACTCTCATGGTATCAATCATTATGCGGTCATCCGACACCCAAAACCGGTTGCCAATCATCAAGTGAGTAGCTGTTTAACTTTCTTTCGTCTTAATGCATTCATTTTTAAATGGGAAAAACTGACACAATTCCGCCAGAATCATCATCATTCATTACCATTTGCATCTTTGTATCATTAGGGGTTGCCTGGATCAGAGGATAAGAAAATCCGTACCTTGTCCAGAGGACCAAAACCAGCCATCGCTCCTAAACCCACGATTCCACCTAAACCCAAAAATATTAAAAGGCAGATGCACTCTTACGATAATGTGATTGACGAAAATAAGAGCAAAACCCCGGCACAGCGTAGAACCACGCCTAAGTCAACCTCCATGTCCATCCTAAGTCCAGTCGACGTAGATCAAGAGTGGGAAAACATCACATTGTTTATGGACTCATTTAATGGCAAAGGTAAACAAGCTGTTCATCAGTAATATCTAGCATGGTGGTTATTTAGTTGGCATTTCATGTTGAGATTTTAACGAAATCTCATTTATGTACGCATTAGACGGGGAAAGTGGTGAGGTAACGAATACATACGGATTGAGCCCCCTTGGCAAATGGCTGGCTCCGATTAGAATGACGGAGTACGAGCAACTCTTAGCTTCGAGTGGGTTTGATGATGTGCAATTTTTGGTAAGTAATTTGATTTAGTTTGAGTTTAAGGCGGAATGAGTAGCATGAAGGCGAACTAGAGGAGCTGGGGCAACTCGCTGACGGTAAACATTTGCTTTTATACACAAAGGGTGCCGATATTTTGGATGAAACCTGCCTCCTTGAAATTGGCATGTTAAATGCTCAACACAGAAAAATAGTGGCTGCTAGAGCTCATTTGACGGATGTAAAATGGCCACCACGTGTCGAAGGCATTCCGAAACTACAACCTGGTTGTGAAACGCCTGCATCTGTTGACCAATGGTTGAAAGATTTACACTTGGAAAAATATGTGCCAACATTTCGCAAAAACATGTACCGAGATCCTACGCGATTGGCGAAACTTTGCAATGACGAGCTAATCACCCTGTTGGAAATTGATTTGCTGGGCCACCGTCGAAGAATTTTGGCTGCTGCGAATAGAATATTAGTCTCCAACGGCGTTGGCGGACGTGGTGGCGGTGGTGGTGGTGGTATCAATCGAAACGGGAGTTGTGGAATTCAGACGACGTCCAGTAGTTCCAGATTTGAGAATGGCGTTGGAGTGGATGAGCTGGAAGATGGCTCATTACCTCTCCGTGATCCGAATCATCTCGTATCCGGTGTGTCCTCTGCTTTGAAGACGGCTTGGCGACATTCGCCGGAAACACTTATTGACGGGAGTGTCACGTACAAAGCCATTGTGAGTAATGCATTTAGCCAACCGTGATTTTAAACCAATTATAAATGGTGTCACTGTGGGTAACCGCTTTTGTGTAATGTTTATGCAATACATAGTACGTCGGATCCAGTCAGGTGCACGAGTTCTCGACCACAGATGCGATTCAAAAGGCCATCCAAGAAATTCGCAGCAAAGAGATCTCTAACAAGTCAAAGACCGTAATGATGGCGGTGGGAAGTGCCAGTGCGGGTAGCGTGCTTCTGCTCAACACCCAGGTCACTTTAATTGTCTCCGCTTCAGTGGTCAGTTGGTACAATGCAAAGACAAAGGTGAGAAGCCATATATACGTATACCGACTTTGAACTCTATAATACGGATCATAGACCGGCAGTCGGTGTGAGATGACCTCAGTCAAGCATAATTTTATTGGAAATGTTTCTCTCCTCATTCCAGAATCTGATCAAAGAGCAAGATATCAGAAGCATTCAGTGCACTTGCCAAGCTTCCGATGATCTCAGACATTTGGCCCTCGTTACACGGACTCCCGACACGAATGACAAAAGTCATTCCTGTCATGTTTTCCTCCTCGACTCCGTGGTAAGTTGTTAAGCATGAGCATGAGTAGCAAATCATCCAATTAGGACACCATAACTGTACATAAATAACAACAGCACCAACCACACCACACCGTCGTCTTGCATGGGGTTTCATACTTGGTTAAATTTGCAGGAATTGGCCACCGAAGCTATTCTCACATTGGGGCAAGCATTTGAAGTGGCGTATCAGCTCGCATTAGGGAGCAATACGCAGAGCCGAGACAACAAGGGTCACATGAGGTCTAAATCTGCAAACCAACTCAGCACCAAGGCCGCACCTCCACCCTCCTCGTCCTCTTCGTCATCTTCAAGTCCTACCTCCAAGCTGAAACAGAGGGACAAAGGGTTCAACAATAATGTGACCAACAACAACAACAGCCACCACTGCAGGTCTCTGTCTGTAGATGAGATTCCACCACCACCCAATCTCGGAATTTCTAAATCCTCCTCTAATTCGCCCCAAATTGATCCTCATCTCAAGAAAGATTACCAGTTCCCTCGAGCCGAGTCCTTTAGCTTCAGCTCGAACTCTAATCTCACCCGAGCTCCAATTGTCTGTCCAATTGTCTCAAAAGAGGAACTTTGATCCCAGGGACTAAGTCGGGGGTAATTTAGGAGTGGGACGAAGACGGGGGCGAAGGATGACGATGCGCCACTGCTACTAAACAACTCTACTCCTAAACGCTTTAAAACTGCAACTGATAAGGTATTAACTTGAACCATTACTACCGAGGCAATGCCTACCGAAAACTTTTGTTCTTCATTACGTATGGAAATTCTGTCTCACTCGAGTTATTATAACGCGAATTATTACTATTCTCAAACTTTAAGCAACATTTGGCTCAAAATATCACCTTACGACAGACAAAATTATATAGTTTATTTACTTGATTGATTGAAGCATGCTCATGTTTTTGACCAACTCCTCTTTACAAATAAGATTGTAACACGACATACTCATATAATTTTGCGTCCACATTTTTGATGCAATATTTAAAGATGACGAATTGATGGGCAGAAACCTCAAGTTTTAGTTGTTATCGCCCGGTAGTACATACATAAGTGCATACGGATGGTGGCGGATGATGGTGAGGTGGTAAAAATCTCACATTTTCTCACTCATAATAGATACACTCACTCACTCAGGCGTACCTTCTTTTCAAGATTGAAGATTGAACGAGAAATGTTTTACGGCGATGAAATGAAGCACGTCTCTGGCAGAATGGGTCTTTATTTATGAAATTAGCAAATTACTAAATAATAACCAGCTAAAAAAAATTACACGTATTTATATCGTACGCGACTCCAAAGGTGCTAGACGCACGAGAGGATCGATCTAAATAATCGAGCAATTACACGTTACCAAAGTCGTTGATAGTCAATATTCGGTAGATTTGTGCATCTCATATTTCCGTGTTGTGACGTAAAAAGTATTTAAAAAATTCCTTCATCATCACCTATTGTTCATCGTAATAATCGTTGTTGTGCATGGCTTCCGTCAGACAGTAAAACTAAATTTGTCATTCAAAAGTGCATTCACTGCGGGATAATATGAATAAGAAAAAGAGATTGGAAACTATAAATTATTTAACTAATTATTGTTATTATTATGCGTACATTTTTCTACTATTTGTGTTTTTCCATTTCATTGAAGCTGTGACGATTAATAATTTTTAAGGATAACTAGAACGTTCGTAACCAGAAGGCTGTAGTGGAGGATGAAGAGGAACAGATATATGTAGTTAGTTAGTTAATTAGTTATGTTAATTGTTGTTGTACCTACAACTTTTCCAAAAAGAAACTTCACTTTCTCCATTTGTAATCCACTCCAAGGGTTCAAAAGAAATCGAGTTGCTCAAGGAGGACCTAAGGAATGAAATTAGTAGATTTTTCTATAATGTGGAACAACCTTTCACGTATTTCTAAACCTGTGCACCACGAAGTAAAAACCTATTCTCTCACACACACAGAACTTTCTCCTTCTAATTTCCTGCATTATTTTTCTTGTTGCACTTTGATAAATTCCTGATATGATGTCGCATGTAAAAATAGTAAAGTGTGGTTCAAGGGAAGCATATATTGGAACAGCAACATCGATATACTGTGTAGACGGCCTAAAAAACTATGTAATAATTTGCGTAATAATGGTAAAAATAGGTTAGGACTTTAAGTAGAAGTTTATGCTTGACGGTGCTCCTATAGTTGTGATGATGAATTAAGACTTATTGGTAGCTCTGTTGGATTGAAATTATTTCAAGTTTCATTATCATCTTCTTCCTCGGTCTAGATGAAACCATTGCTGGAGAAAATAGGACTATAGAGAGAAAGCTACGGTAAATTATTACGGTCAGTGAACATTTGTGTATATTTGTGAACTCATCACCATAAATAAGTTGTGTTTGGACTAATTAGTTAATAGGCAATGCGAGTATCAAAAAAGTTTTAATAAGTTTTACTCCTTGGATATTTTCCCAGGAAAATTATACCATTCGAATTAACACGATATATTCTGAATCTGGATGCAGTTTAGGAAGAAAGGAAAATTTTATACTGATTGCTCAGTTGCTGAACCTAATCAAAAATATGATAGAGTCAAATTAACAGCCCAAACTTTTCCACCTGGCATAAGTATGTATGTAGCTCAATTTAATTTGTGTGCGTGAGGGTTACAGCAGTTAACAGTTAATAATGCAACGTATAACCTTCCGATAAATACCTATAGCTACACAAATAAATAGTAACAATCATCCGGAAAAGGGAGCATCTTTATTTTATTTACTGCAACTGCAACTATAATTATGGGTATTTTATTATTATTATAATGCATGTTCATATAAATAGATCTGTTTTTTTATTTTAATCGATTACAATAACGCATAATGCATGAACTGCTTAGAAGTAAATACTACGTTTAGATAATGTTATGCTCATTGTTAAACTCAGATTTACTATTATGATATAATACAATATATATGTCTGAAAGGTGCAGAATTTACTTATTACATATTGTAATTATTCCGCTGATGATGAGTGTACCCTCTGAGATTAAGAAATATATAGTGACTGCTAGTTACATACATACATAAATGCATACATCATGATTAAAGAAGGTTTGTTTTCTAAATGTAGTGGAGGATAAAGTTCACTTGTTTAGTATTTAATTTTTTCCCCAATTTTTAATAAGAATCACATCTTTTAAACAGAAACTTGAATTTTTTGATTTAACGGTAACAACTTATCAAGATGGATTACAGCCAGTCACGCATAATTCTAATAGCTCTATTTAGCAGGATAAATCTTCAATTTAGGACTTATTTTTAAGCAAATGGGAAAAATGTCTTTCTGTAGCACGAAACTGTTACGCATTGTTGTACTCTCAGAATAATGTTTACTGGAAACTGATCAACTTTATAAATGTCATCACATTCTTCAAAAAATCTCGTATTTCTACTTGTTCGCATATTGGTAATTTTATAATGTTAATTCGTTTATGGTTGTCATCAAGTGATGTAGTAGCGAATCAAAGGCCTATAGCTGGCGTGTTGAATTTAACCTAAATACATATGTAGAAGGAGGACATGGAAATGTCAAGTCAGACTAACTTGTGGCAATATTGACCAAAAATATTGCTTATATAATTTATGCAAACCATTTTTTTGTAACTTAATTTAGGTGTATGCTATTGTTTAATTTATTATTGTATCCAGTCAAGAATTCCTTCAACCGTGACAATTTTATAGCTAATTTGTATTACATATACTTGTCGAAATGATATTCCTATACACATTCCTATTATGTTATTCACTAAATTAGAGGTATTGTCAGAGAGTACATACGATTGTTAGAATATTATAGAATATTCCGCAACTAAACATACACATACTTATGTAGCTAAGAGTACGTAGATTAATTTTTTGCAACAGTTGAAACTTTAAGTCCGAGAAAAACTTTTATTCTGTAGACAAAAGTCCGCAGCTTCTGTTTAATTATTTACACTCTCAACATCGAAAGTTACTTTTTACAAAAAACTTCTTTGTGCTGTGCTAAAAACTATTACGTTCGTATCCACCAACAGAGATATACTGCTTTGTGATATGCTTTATTATTGAAATTATTATGCAATAATAAACAGCATATTATGAAAAGATAGTAAAGTTTTAAAAGTTTCGCAAAATACTGAAATTATTTGGCTCATCGTTGAAAATATTCATTTATTGCGCATCTTATTTTCAAGACCACTCGGTCGAATTGTCGACATGCTCACCATTTTTCTTAGGTGATTACAGACAAGTATGCATTTCAGGTTTTCCAGAAGTGAATATCTTCCACATATCCACTAACTGAATACCTTCCCGATTCCAGCTCATTATTTATTGGAGAAAGTGAATGGGTGCAGAGGCAACAGCTCATACAACAAAACTCCTCTCTCTCTCTGCCTTTCTCAAACACTTCACCAATGGATTTACTTACAGTGATTGGTTACTCTTCGTTTATTTCTTCCAACCAGTTGGTTCTAAATAACAAGACGGGATAAATCCATACCTCACTTGGGACGACGAAGAATATGGGAGTTTTTTTATTCATCTTCCCAGAATTGGGGGAATAACGGTTGCTTGCACATTTGCCAGCGATAACGAACGATTAAAATGGTAAAAATCCAAATGATGGTTCTTCAAGGAAGTGAAATAATTGCGAAATGTAAGTTAAATCGGTTCCAGTGAATTTTTTGAGGACTTGAGCAGTGCGTACCATAATGGTTGGTTCGTGGTTATTTAGTGGGTCTGATATGCTCACCCTTTACAGAAATGATCACCAGTGGATATTTATATGGACGGACAATGCATAATCATCAGCTTAGCCATGAATTGCACATTGTTGCATCTGCACTTGAAGCATGCTGAATGAGCGTAACAAACGGATTCTCAAGGATTTCCTCTTGATGGTATCATTGTCGTCGTGTGAAATGAGTCTCCAGTTCAATCGGTTCCACTGATTTTCTACTCGAGATGAACTCTCGGTATGTGGAGAATTTTTTCGTTCCAACACCTTTCAAACAGTCACCCCAACCCTTTTCCAACACTCTTTTGCCATGTACATACGTACTTGCTGCCCATATTTGTCCCACTCTCAAAAGAGGCAACATTCAACTGGAACGTAGAATAAAAAGCAATTAAATGTGTTAATACTGAAATAAATTATCAATGAGTTACGGCAGGGTTGAAAGCGAATATTCCTTCCGTATGAGTGCGTCTGAAGGTAATTAGGACTTTCTGAAAAACTTTATCGTTTTTAATTTAAATATCTCAAAAGATTATTGCACAAATTTTAGCACTAAAAGTTAAATCATCGGACCTCATGGTGAGATAGTCGATTGAGATATTTTTTTGAACGATAATGCAGAATAGGCAAATAACTTAATGGGCGAAGGGTTCAACTTCACAGCAATTAAGTTAAAGCCGAAGTGGCAATCATTCAAACGACAGTGAAAAACTGACAAATGTTTTATAATTAATTACACGAGGGCATACTACGAAATGCAACCATTATCCCCACGTCACTGCCACTTTATTAATTACTTTTATGCAATGTGTGTATGACTCGTTGACCCAAAAACTTGCCAATATTATGAATGCATAAACAATCGCATCGTACAAGTGGTATCAATCAACAACAATTGGTAAAAGTTACTTAAATTCATACGTAAGGGAGAGCATTCCATATAAATATTTCGTGGCATATTTAGAAATGTTCACACCCATGAGCTCGACCGTGCCCTGGCAGGACTCGGCTACTGGAAGCAAAGGGATGACGAAGAGTAAAAGTTATTACATAAATAGTTTCTGGAGAAAGAAAGGACTTGGAAGTCTCGAACACTTGGAACAATATTCCATGTTCACATGTTGGTAGGGATTTCGGGGAGGCAGCTGGGATTCATTTTTGGATGCTGATGTTGAAACAAGGCCCACTCAAGCGGCAAGCACCCGGATTTCTTTCTCTTTTCGGAGCGAGAAACATTTGTTTAATATTAAATTCTTGCTTTTTGTCTGTCGTCTTGGTCGTCGTCCTCGTCACACAAGGGCGAAACTCCATGTGGTGGTTTTGCATCTAATAACTTGCTCCTCAGCGCAAAAGTCGTATAATGTAAATCAAGCATCCAGATTTCCAAGTTTGCTGCAAGCCGCAGATCTCCACAACGTACGTACGTATATACGACGAGCGTAATTATTTTGAGAGATGTCATGGGGTTATACTCCTCTTCCAGGAATAACAATGGAAATACAAAATAATAGACTTTAACAATGAAAGCTGTCCCATCTCACTTCATTTCAATTCATTGAATTCTTCTTGACTTTCAACAACCGGGTCCAAAACCAAAACGGATGACAAAAGAACAAAAGGATGAAGAAATATTATTGTGGTTCTTTCTTCGTTTTCTCCAGTTCAATTCTTTCTCCGGAGCAACCCCGGAGTGAAACTCATATGCAAATTTGGTGGTGATGCTAAATATAAAAAATGAATTTTGATGTACGAAATGATTCCAGATTTTGCTTTAATACATTTGCAACTATTAAAACGAGAGTTGTGATCTTATTCCAAAAATAAAGCACAATACTGATTCGTATTTAGTGTGTGTCATATTGATTCTTGAATAGAAATAGAAGTGTGTTAATACGCTACAATATGACGCTTGGGAAGCGAATACAATTTCATTATTGATACGTATTTTGATATCTTGACTTGTACATGTCGTGTTAGCTGCACGTGTTTGAATAATTTAGGAGTTTTCATTTCCGGTCCCGTCAGTTGGACCAGCGAGATAGGGTGAAACGTGATAGGGACGAACTGAACGAATGAAGTGGATACATATATGTAATTCTGCAAAACTGTCTCTCACTACGAATTTTCCACCATCGTTCACCAATAAGGTCAAGGATTTACTCTCTCAAAATCTAATCAATGATTATCCCGACGATTTTTCAAATGGATTTCGTGATTCTAAAATCTGGAAATTCGACGGGGTTTAAAGTCAACGGGCTAGAAAATGCAGTGCAACACGGGATGGGAGGATTATAAAATGAGCTTGTTTTGTTACACAAATGCCACGAAGCAGAAATAATTATTAAAACCTCCTAATCCGATGCAGTACGAAAGTCAAACTAGACCCGGTGGATTAGTCCTTATCTTCATCTTTGTTTATGAACTTTCCGTGTTATTTTAATTAGGACTTGGACCGTATTATAGTTATGCAAGTGAAATAATGAAGGAACAACTCATATATAACATGCATAAATAGATATGTGCCTCATCACCTTCTTCTCCATGCAGTGCAACCTGATTACATAATAACACAATCAAGAATCACCTAGATAATTATTATCACTCGGTCTGTTACCTCTTACGGTTCAGCTAGATCTGATCCGTCTTTGTCTTAATAACCTTCTTTTGACACCACCATAAAGCCAAGGTTAGTTGGTTATGTAACCCATTGTACGGATTCGATGATGTCATTTCTGTCATTTATTATAAAGATCAAATCAGTCGTAGTCTCGTCTCAATTTTACAACAATCGTCATAACGTCTTCCTCCCATTTATTATTCCTAATTAACATGTTCATCAAAGATAAAGCGATTAAAAACGAAGGACAATCACCAAATTTTCTCATGCACCACTTGCTTACGTATTTAAATTTCTACCACTCTCCAACTTAAATAAGAGAGCAAAATGGAATACTTATCGCCTTAACGCGTACTTTTCTCTGGTATAAATCGCAAGTACAAATCAGTGTCGACAAAAAAACGTGGCAAGAGTAGAAGCGATTGGTTTAAAAAAAGGAGACACAATCCATTACATAATTCCCTATATTTGTATTCAGTGCAGTGCATCGTGCTCTCATTGGATTGCATTAAACGAGTTTTTGGTGATGCGGTGTTAGATGGATGCAGAATTCATCATTAATTCCTTTTCTGTAGGAAATTAACCATCTGCGCAGACAACCACGAAGAAGACGAACAAATCTCTCTTGAGCCATCCACTCCAAACACGATTCTGCTGCTGCTTTTCACTCCCCGTATATTTTATCAGCCATTCCTGTCGTCCTTTCTGTGTCTCCCAGTTGGACAAGGCCTCTTTGTTTTCAGAGACCGAGTTTAATGCACATCTATTCAGTGGAATGTACATGCATGCTGCCGGATGGGTTGGTTCTGCGTGTGTGGAGGCATTCATTCGGCGGCATGAAGCTGGCTGAGCGAGGCGTGTAATGCGGAGAGAAAGCTGGGAATGGAAATCTGAAAAAGTCGATGAAACTAAACCAACCCAACACACCGCCACGCACCGTCGCGTCTCTTCTGCTGCACTTTCTCCACGCACTCACTCAGAAACCCATCCATGGGCTGCTGCTGCTGGAATCCAGCTAAGCGAAGTGTGGGAGTGAACAAGAAATAAAATCTGCCTGATTTCCATCCCCTCCCACGCACGCCTTGTTCCCCACCACCACTTTCCTCCAAGGACAATTAATAACGATCTGAAGCTGCCCGTTTTTACTTAGCAATTAAAAACTTACATCATCGTCAGGTTATTGGACCGGGAATAATTTACTTTGAAAATAATTCTACAAAAAAATCATGTTAAACGATGTTTGAAATATGACATAAAAAATCTGGGTGAAAGTATATCTTTAGACGAGTTTGGAACGTGTGATTAAATTCATGAGCTAAAATGTCATGCATATTTCTGTCGATTTTATCGGGAGCGTGCTGAACTGTGAAATTTATTGGCGATGAGAGGATGATGACGAGGCTGCTACATCTCTTTTAACTTGTACAAATGCGGCGACCCAAAATTTTTGCATATATATTGACGGGTGAAAAGGGAAATTAATTGGGAGCCACGTGACTCGTCGGGATGATACTCTTTCATCTGGCAGTAATAATGTGAAGGGGGGTTTCTCTCTTAAAAAACGAAGCTGATCCATCTTTTATTGAGCTTGCCTCCCTTTTTCACAGAATCGGTGACGGCCTGTGACCCAACTTCCGCTGTTTTTTTTTACTTTCCTTTACGCACAAATCCCTCGGCAAAACTACAATTCTGCAGTCAGTGGTTGTGGTGGTGGTAGTGTGTGTGCGGTGTGACTGCAATAAAATAAATGCGACGCACTCACATGCA